CTGGAAGTTCAAAAAGATGTAATCCTTTAGAATTAAACTTTCATAGAAATGCAAAAGTACCAAGCATCAACAGAACAAATTATGTCAAATAAAATGTCACTCTTGTTAAAAATATACTTTCAAGTGAACTGTATGTTAATGATCTATTAACAACATATTTAACTATGGGAATTAAGTAACAGAAACAACAGAATACTGTGGAAATTGTTATATCTGAGGTAAATGACCAATTTCATATGAGATATATTTACATATTTTAGACTGTTCTGATGCCCTGCTTCCATAAATGGAGGAAGGAAAACATTTATTTTCAAGGTAGTGTTAACTGTAGAAGCTTTTCTTTTCATTTTCTATAGGAAACATTCATTTTCAATGTAGAGTGTTTGTTAGTAAGCTAGTTAGTTAGTTAGTTAGTCGACAGATTATCCTCATTGTATGTTGAACCACTCAGTCCATAAGTGCTCAGATCCCCTCCACAGTAAATCCCGCAGCGTTTAGCGGCTAACGACACCAGTTCTGTGTTGGTTTGTTATTCCTTTTTGACTACCCGTGTAGTGTTCTTGTTTGGTGATACCCCGTTTAACATGTTCTTGCAGTCTGAGCATGGTTGCAGATTCACAGTTCTCAGTTGGTTCACGCAAACGTCTTAACTCTCTTAGAGCATTCAGTATTTCAGCCTGGTCCATGGCTTGTCTGGCTTTCACAGTAGCTTTACCTGCAAGCATATCAGCTTGCTCATTTCCTTGTACCCCCACATGTCCTGGCAGGAAAATGAAACGAAAATGAAACATCCTTGTCAGCCATGAATTCTGTAGAGCCACCAACTATTGCCTTCGGACCCAGCCCTTCTCTATCTTCCTAAGCATACTCATCAAGTCAATGAGAAAGCGTGCCCTAGTGAAAGTCTGTGTCTCTAGCCATGTTACTGCTTTAGTCACAGCCATGAACTCCATAGTCAGACTACTTGTAGTTACTGCAAAAGCTCCAGAATCTTCCTTCACAACTCTCCCTCCAAACTGAGCCGTGAAAGCCCAAGAGCTTCTAGAGTGTTAAGTGTAGAAGTTATTCTTTGCACTGACTATGGGAAACATTCATTTTCAAGGTAGAGTGTTAACCGTAGAAGCTCTTTTTTTGCATTGACTATGAGAAACATTTATTTTCAAGGTAGGGTGTTAACTGTAGAAGCTCTTTTTTGCAGTGTCTATGAGAAACATTCATTTTCAAGGTAGAGTGTTAACCGTAGAAGCTCTTTTTTTGCATTGACTATGAGAAACATTCATTTTCAAGGTAGGGTGTTAACTGTAGAAGCTCTTTTTTGCAGTTTCTATGAGAAACATTCATTTTCAAGGTAGGGTGTTAACCGTAGAAGCTCTTTTTTTGCATTGACTATGAGAAACATTCATTTTCAAGGTAGGGTGTTAACTGTAGAAGCTCTTTTTTTGCAGTTTCTATGAGAAACATTCATTTTCAAGGTAAAGGGTCAAGTGCAGAAGCTATTCTTTGCATTGACTTCTTATTTGCCCCTGCTTATGCCGTAAAATGTCACAGAGCAAGTTACACAGTTTTCTGCTAGTTGTGTATCTTGTGTTAATGTCATAATGCATGTCTTTAGTATCTTGTTTACTGCATCCACCCATCTCTTTATTGGTCAGCCCCACATCTTGTGGCTTGCTGTTCTCCTATAGTATGATCTAGCTGATTCTGTTCCATTATGATCAGGTGCCCAAACCATTTGATTTGTTAATATTCTGTAAAATCATTTACCAGTACTGTGCCTACCATTGTTCTTAGTGCATCACTGGTGACTGTCATTTTGTTTTTTCTGCAACATTTCTTATACATCTCAGCTCACATGCTGTGAATTTGCGTTGATGTTTTTCAAGGACTGGCCCTGTCTGGCTCTGATAGCACAAAGTTGGTATGAACAGCACATTTATCATCTGATTTAGTGTGTGCACGTTGATACATTGATGCCTCAAGAATGACAGTAATGCATAAATGTTTCTACAGCAACATTTTCATGTGGTGACCAAATTTTCAGTCTGCTTATTCATCTCTCAATACCTGAAAAGGTAAAAGAGGAAGTAAAGGAGATGAAGATCATTACCTTTGTTATCTTTTTTCATCATCATCATCAAATTTTTTTCACCTCAACTCTCCTAGTCCCAAACAATGCATAATGTGTTACTACTTACTGGCTGAAAATGCAGACAACAGAGTCCGGCTGCTGTGAAAGCAGAAATTCAAGCCTTGATTTTCAAAAACGCACTTGAGGGTGATGATGTCATTTACACAGATGGTTGTGTAATCCGCCATGTTAGAAGCTCGAAGGCTTTCACGGCTCAGTTTGGAGGGAGAGTTGTGAAGGAAGATTCTGGAGCTTTTGCCGTAACTACTCCTTAGAGTAGTCTGACTATGGAGGTCATGGCTGTGACTAAAGCAGTAACATGGCTAGAGTCACATCATTTTCCTGGGGCATGCTTTCTCAGTGACTCCATGAGTATGCTCTGGAAGATAGAGAATGGCTGTGTCCGAAGGCAATAGTTGGTGGCTCTACAGAATTCACGGCTGACAAGGATTAGTTTCATTTTCGTGCCAGAACATGAAGGGGTACTAGGGGTATGAGCAGGCTGATATAATGAATGCTCTAAGAGAGTTTAGACGTTTGCGAGAACCAACTGAGAACTGTGAATCTGCAACCATGTTCAGATTGCAAGAACAACATGTTAAACAGGGTGTTGCCACACAATAACACTACGCGGGTAGCCAAAGAAGAATAACAAACCAACACAGAACTGGTGTCGTTAGCCACTACACGCTGCAGGATTTACTGAGGAGGGGATCTGAGCACTTATGGATTGAGTGGTTCAACATGCAATAAGGATAATCTGTCGATTAACTAACTGACTATTCCCCATATCTCTCAAATGTCACATCAAGTGTCTTTTTATATTTAAGTTTTAGTCAGTATTCACTAAATAGTAAGTTTACAGATTATTCTCATTGCACATCAAACCATTCAATCCATAAGTGCCTGGATCTCCTCCTTAGCAAATCCTTCAGTGTGTAGCGGCTCATGACACCAGTTCTGTGTTGGTTTCTTATTCTTCTTTGACTTTATGCATAGTGCATAGTGTCACACCTCTTTTTAACATGTTGTTCTTGCAGTCTGGTTATGGATGCAGATTCAGTCGTCACTTGGTTTTCGTAAACGTCTTATTTCTCTTATAGCATTCAGAATATCAGTATTTAATTACTTTACTTGCTGGGCGGATCCTCAGTTGATTTAGTAGTTTGTCTGTTTTGGCCTATTATGTCAACTGATCACTGTTGAAGCCTACACGAATTAATTCCTCCTAAATAATTTGTACTTGAAGTAATGGCACAATTACTGTACACACTGTCTGTTGACTACTATTTCCATAACTAGTCCAACTTCCACAGTAGCTTTACATGTAACCTGATCAGCTTGCTCATTTTTTTGCCTGCTTTCGTACCCTGGCACAAATATAAAACTGATATGTGTCAGCCCCGACCGCTTTAGAGACTCCAATACCTGTCTTGGAATCCAGCCCTTCTCTATCTTCCTGATCATACTCACTGAGTTAGTGAGAAAGCATGCACAGGAAAAGGTCTGGCTTCAGCCATGTTACTGCTTTGGTCACTGAATAAATTTAGCAACCACATAGGTATCTTGAATGCATTTTTTTTTTCAGACGCAAGTGGTGAGTTTGCATGGAAATATTTTGTTTATTATATTTTTATATTTTACCTTATGGGACCGAGCCGAAAAAGTTAACTTTCTTTATAAATATTTTTAAACTATTCCAACACTAATGTTACTCTTACTTTCATGATACTTAACTTTTCTTTAAACATAATCATTTTTTTTAATCATCAGTAGCGTTGAAATCAGCATAGTTAACTGTTAAGTAAATAAAAACCTAGTTGTTCTCCTATCTTGAAGCAAGTAAAATAATGGGCATATGTTCATATATAATAAATAATGGTAGTTCAATATTTTAATTAACCAGTCAACATTTGTATAGTATAGTATGATCAGTATTTATTGACAGTATTTATTATAGTTTGAGATTCATTTATTATAGTATCTTTTGGTACTAAAACAGTTAAAGCTTAGTTTAAGATACTTAAAGCGAGTAACTTATTATTAATTAAAAATTTTAAGACAGTCTTGAGTCTTCTTACCTGGTCTTTCCTACTGCAGAGTTGAGTGATATCCTAACTAACTAGACAGTATAGAATACTAGTTAGTGTACTCGTAACAGTTTTAAAATTTAAAACTTTTAATTTAAATTAAATGTGTTTGTCAATTATGTGATCGCCGCCGTTTACTCTGTTTTTGGCCTAAGACACGTTCTCCGAATATGATCTCTATGTAAATTAATTACTTTATGTCCACTAAACGAGAGATCACCAAACGCGGATCACTGGACACATCCGAAAACTGCCAGCTGACAGACGATTCGTTTCTGAAGTTCTGGTCTCCGGCACCAGTGAGTTCCACAGGCCGGAACTAGAGGTCGCTGAAGTCTCTGAGTTAGTTGGTCTTGTAGGGACAGTACCAGAGAATGTTCTCCTCCAGACGAATTAGCTAAATGATCATGTCCCAGAATATGATTGTTTTTGTGGGCATGTAGTGTGGCATGGATTCTGATGACCGAACAAGACGTCTGGTGTCTTTTTACTTGCTTATCTATACAGATGTGATTCCAGAAAAAGACACAACATAAGTCATAAGTAGTTTTCTCTTACGTAGTGGACGGTGGTCAGAATTCTTTCGAATCTGTTTTATATTTCGCGACAAGCATCTTCTTCGGCAGTGTTGCTGTTGTTGAAGCTTGAGATTCCTTTTACCTCGCTTGGGCTGTAGTTTTGCTCTTCAACATGTGAATTGTGCGCTTAAGAAGGTGACGCGTTTGTGTGATCTGGATCTGTAATTTACAGACAAGGAGACGTAGTTTCATTCAGCACCAGCAATGATCAAAATGTTCAGTAAAAATAGGTCTTCGCGGCGGAAAGATAAGCCTCGCAGTGGATTAAGTAATTCAGAAATGAATAGTGGCTCAGGCAGCTTAACCCAGGCTGAGACTATGTATAACAGCAACACAAGTCCTGCACGAAATACCAACACTGGTCACAACTCCAGTTATTGCGGTGTTTATGGTACCAGCATGATGGAAAGACCTCCTCGTAGCAGGGCCATGTCCGATGGTTCACCTGCTGATTTTTCGGTACCATCGCCCCTTGACTTTCCTTTAGAACACCTCCAGTCTTTCAATGCCACCTATGGGTTAAATCCGTCTCAGAGAACTTACATTGACAGCCGGCCGATACCCCGCCACACACCATTGAAGAGTTTAATTAGCCCGACTCATAGCAGGAGTATTAGCAGCAGCCGGACAAATATAATTAATCAGTCTCAGGGGCATATTAGAACAGGTAGTAGTACTAGTACCAGCAGTTTAGGAAATTCTTTTCATAATCGATCACTTGATGGAATAGAACATGACGGTGCCTACTTAGGAGATACATCTTTAGATCGGCACTTTGAGCAAATTCAGTACAGCATGCAAATGGACAATAGATTAAATCATGATACAAGATACAACACAACGGGTCGGGATCGTTCACTTGACAAAGAGTATCCACATATGGGAGCACGTTCATTAGAGCGTGACCCACATTCAGTTAGCAGATCAAGGTCAACTGATAGAGGTGGTGATTACAACTATCCATCAGCTACAATGCCTACAATGCCATTGCTGTCACATTCATCCAGCATACAGCCAGATCATTCATCCCATGAATTTCGTAACTCTTTAGTGTTTGAGATGCAGATCCAGATATCAGATTTGCACAAGGAGGTATGATATAACATTTTCTGTCTTATTGCTTTAATGTAATCCTTTCTATGCAGTGTATTGTGCTTTGTTGAAATAACAGTAAATTGTGTAGCTGTGAATTGTGAAAATAGTATTGTGCGAGCTAATCTTATGCAGAAAAGACTTGCCACTTTTCTTTGCTGTCCACTTGTATATGTTGTGTGTTTGTTGATAAAGCATGGCTATCTTTCTATTAACGGTCCCAAATTATCGAGGCTGAAAATATACCCTAACAGAGCCTCAGTCACGTGTTGATTGCGCCCTTCGGAAGCTAAATTAGATGGCTGGGACTCATGAGCAAATAAAATGAAGGAAGCTGCTAGATGTGGTAGCTGCTGCACGTGAGTCTCAGCCATCTAGTTGAGCCCCAATCCACGCCGCGTGAGCGCCGTGGGGGATACTCTCAGCGGTGGCGGAAGTTGACGGAAGTGCGCAATTCAAGTCGCCGGAAGTTTGCAATTGACACGAGACTGAGGCTCTGTTAGGGTATATTTTCTGCCTTGATAATTTGGGACCGTTGTTCAGAATATAGCCTAAAGCATTAATTTTTGTTTGTTAATACCGCATGAACTCTGTTCCTCTGCTGCAGATAGAACATTTTTGTTATTTCCTCTTTGAAATTACTGGCATCATTATATCAAGCCTTCTACACTTCTTCATGTTCATTTTTCTGCAAAAGTATATTTTACTGCAGTCTTCTAGATCTTTGAATTGATATGGATTTGATCAAAAAGAATTATCACCTGCACATCAGACAGAGGGCTCAGATCTCCTCCTTAGAATTGATATGAGTTTGTGATGATTGATCACTCAAGTTCAGTGCTTGTCCACAGGCCTTCTTGGGTCAATACAAAGCCTTCCAAGTCTTGCAGCCAGAGCAAGGCCATTGTTGCATCTATATAATTAAAATCAGCAGTTTCATGTTTACATTTAATGTCATTTATTATGTTTTATGTGTTCTAAAATGACCTTGGCTGTCAGGTTGACCCAGCCTGGAGTGGTTAACAGGTATAGTCCTGGGAAGTAAAGGCAGTCAGCAGGATGTTGGGGTATAAAATATAGGTCTAGCCCTATATGCCCAGCATGCCTGAAGGTGTGGAAAAGGGTCCTTCCATTTACTTTCAGGGGATAAGAGGAATTCACCCTGGTATAGAATCATGAGTTTTTGTTTCCCTTTTTCACAATATTTAATAAACTGGTCTAAACACTTTATTGTGCAAAGTTTTTTTGTTTTTGTTTTTAATATGATGGGAAATTATTAACTAAATACCTATGGACAGGGAATTAACTGCTTTCCTTACTTCCGACTATGAAAGTGATTGTTTTTTCTGTAGACATGGCCATAATGAGCAGTATAGCATCATTATGATGTCATGACCTTGCAATGACTTTTAAAAATCCCTTTTTTTTACCCCAGATATCTCAGTTTTTCAAGTAAATAAAATCATGCCCATCATGTCAACACACTGCAGATGTAAGCTTTTATACATGCACAGTCGCCACTGCTAAAAGACTTTGTCATAAAAAAAGGGCAACAACTCTGCGATGCAACATAGTTAACAAGTAATATAAGGAACATACCCAAGAAGACTGGTAGACGTCATTCCAGAATTTGTTAGATCGTGCCACTCATTGTATCAATTCATAAATGAGAAAAACAAAAACCCATGCAATGTTCCAGTCTTTGGTTGATTTTGATATGTTTTCAATCAGTCATTGTTTAATAGCCTGATTATGTTTGACAGTTAACTGTACTGACTGCATTACACATTATGTTTATACTGCGTATGAATTTTCTACGTCCTTTTTAAGGATGAAATTTTTCTTGATTTGGCCAGGGGCCCAAATATAGGCAGGCCATTGATATGGCCAATTGTCTGAACGCGGTTTCTGGGACTTCTCCACAGTGATCCTCATCCACATGGTGGCACTTTGTGTCATGGGTGTTTGTCGCTTGTGTGATGTCCTAGTGGGGTAAAAAGTCAGTCAGTCAGTTTACTGTATCTGTGTTGACCAGTGCACCAGAGGCATCACACCATTAAAAATGCATGCCAGCTGATTTTGTAGGTCCTTATTTCATTTCCATATCATTAATCTAGAACAGTCTTCTAAACCTGTCATTTGGTTGCTCTTTCATTCTGATATTATTAAATGCATTTAGGAGAATAAGTGACAGGTGGCCTTTGTTTTGGTAGGCCAAGACTGACGCTAGCTGGTTGTGATGCACATCAATTGCGTGGCATCACTGTCTTCTAGAAATGTACTGTTGAAATCCAAACACCAGTTATAAATTCTAAAGTGTGGCAGAAACTGAAAAATATACTCAGTTGTAAGCATCCTCTACATTTATCATAACAGAACATCTCAAGCTTTATACAAGATTTTATAGTCATAATGGGTAAACACTGCAGTATTATACCAGGTTCCTTTCTTCTTCTTCTTCTGCCTTTCTATCCCCCAATGGAGCATAGGCCCTCAACCAACTCACGCCAAGTCGTTCTATCCTTCGCCATTGCATGGAGCTCTCCCCATGTCCTCCCAATCTTTCTAACTTCGTTCTCCAGCTCTCTTCTCCATGTGTTTTTTGGCCTTCCTTTATTCCTATGCCCCTGTGGGTTCCAATGCAAAGACATTCTAGTAATGCTGTTCTCCTGTTTTCTCAGTGTGTGCCCTATCCAACGCCAGCGTCTTTTCCTCACTTCCTGATCCACGGGAGCCTGTTTAGTTCTCTCCCAAAGTTCTGCATTAGTTATTCTATCATACCATTTTATTCCCTCTATTCTGCGCAGGCACCAGTTAATGAATCAGGTTCCTTTGCTAGACCTGTAACTATCAGTAGTGAGTTGTAGGACATGTAGTCATTCCAGTTTAGCTGCTCCAGTTTCCCTGACTTTGGCAAGGACAGCCTTGCGTCCAGTTTTGGTTAATTATGCTGCTTTTATTGTTGAGGTGAATTTCTTGAGCTTTTTCCATTCCTTAATATAATAATCCCTCATGAGCATTGAACTGGTTCTCTTTATCACTAAATACTGAAGGCCAAGTAAGTATCTTAACATCCTGACCGTGGTTCATATCTTGAAAAGTTTGAATCTCAAAACCCAATTTAGCAGTACAATTTAAGGAAAGCATTTAATCTGTTGGCAGATGAAGAAAAATTTTAAAACATTGTCCATGGTAAGAAGAACTTCTCAAGCAGACCCTTTTTTTTTTTTTTTTGTAGAAACTGTTTCACTGTGGGGGCAAAGACCTTTGTCTTCTTGCTCACAGAAGAAATTCATTGTTACCCAAGCTCTGGTGTTAATTTTCCACATAAAGTTGAATTTGTGCCTATTAACTTTGTGTTGTTAAAATACCAACATTTGCAGAGTAATAAACCAACAGAGGTTTTATCTTCAGATCATCACTGGCTTTAGCACAAAAAAGCAAAAGTTATTCTTTCATTATTTTGTGTCCTGGCAATGCATTTCCTCCTTATTGATGAACATTCTCTTGGGCATGTTCTTTCAGTTTCATTGCAGTTTAAAACTTATTTTCGTCTGTAATGCTCTGACTCCATCAGTTTCTGAGATTCCTTCACAAATTTTTCAGTGGCTCTAGCACTTTCTAAATTGCTCATAACACTGTGGATACCAGTTCTGTACTTGAATTTCTCATACTATCCTTTGCTAGCTTCACTGATGTCTTTTGCTACTGGTAGTGGATGACAAGTTCTGTGATAGATCTTTGTAAATAGCTTGAACTTTTAAACGGATACTATTTTGAGATATCATAAAAAAGATAGCAAACCAGACGAAAAGTAGAGCCGGAAATGCCAAGGGCAGTAACTCAATAATGTTAGATTAGACTGCATTGACAGTTAAGTCCCTTAGGTGATTGGATATCCATGAGACAGATCAGGCGGTTTCCAAGAGACTTATGGACTCTGTCCCTAGAGTGGCTAGATTTAATGGCCATAACCTCCATGTCACTGACCCCTTGGTGATCCTGAGAATAAGTGCAACTGTACTGGTCTGAGGCCACATTTCTGCATATCCCAAAAGATGTCTGAACCTGTCAACTAGTCATAGCCCTGTTGTACCGATGTATTTCATACCGCATCGTTTGCAAATAATGGTGTAAATAACTGGCTCGTGCTATTAAATGCTCCATGTACGTGGAAGATGGTTTTGTGAAAATCCAGAACGTCTGCCTAGATCACATGTGGACAAGACTTGCATACAGGTCTATGGCAAGAGACTAGACTGCCTTGAGGTTATGGTCATTTTTGTAGGCCAGTAGGGGAAGTTCAGTCAAAATCATGCTGGTGACAGGCTCAGCTCGTAGGATAGAGAGGTGCCTGTGGAGAATGTTTTTGACACGGATTTTGTGAGGATGGTAGGTAAGTGAGAGGTTAGGTCTTTTGTGGTGATGTTTAGTCTTGGAAGTAAGGGCCTCAGCATGACTGATAGACCATTAGCGGTGAAAGGTAGCAGCTATGTTCAGGGTAGCCTCAAAGCCAGAAGACGCCCAGCATTTCCAGTACCCTGTGGTGGAAGTCTCCGTTCTCCTGACATAGTGTACAGAGGCGTAGAAGCTCCTGGGAAAAAGGAATGGAGTCCATGCAGGAAGTAGGATGGGAGGATGTGTTGAGGAGAAAAGCATGGTAGGCTTATAGTATACCACTGTGCTGAGGCTTTTAGAGTTGGATGCTTGGGTGGAAGCTGGAGAAAAAGGTTAATGACGTCTTGCAATCCAGTTTCATGTTTTTCATTTTATACAGGTTTATTTAGCGCCTGTGGCTTAGGTGTTGCGAATGGGCTTTGTAATGCCGGAGTGCTGGGTTCAATCCCAGCTGTAAGCCTTGGGTTGGTTTTGACAGTGGTATCGAGAAGCCGACTGTCCAGAAAGCAATGGCAAACTACCGGAAGTAAATTTCCCTAGAAAAACCACAACAGCCAAAAAATGCTGGCGTTTGTTCTGCAATGTCCTGTAAAGGGTATGCAACTAGCTTTAACTTTAACAAGGTTATTACATGTTTAATAGAGGATCACTTGGGTACAAACTCTAAGTATGTCTCCAACACTGACTCGTGCTGTGACTGTGCACGCTCAGGTTCTCTCTTTACCTGTCTGTCTGTCTCTTTGTCTGTCCCCCCTCCCCCCCCCCTCCCCCTTTCTCTCTCTTTCTCTTAGATTTCATAGACTAATGAATGCTTTTTCCACAGGGTTTGTGTAGTGAGTAGAGCGGATAATTATCTTTACAGTGTTTCCCCTTTCTTTTTCATGTTAAGTATTAAGTAAAGGACCCTTTTCGACAACTTGAAGCGTATTGAGCTCTTAATGCCAGACCTATATTTTATAGAGCAATTGGGTGATGTAGTCAGCATCACGCCAGCCACCTTTACTTCCCAGGACTTTACTTAAAAGGCTGAGTTGAACTAGGAACCACAGTCATTTTGGCAAAAAGTCTGGCTCCGTTTGAATTTGAATCCATGATGAGACTCTAGCTGCTACACCACGGCGGCTTCCCACCTTTAGTATTAGCATTCTCTATGTTCATTTAGAGGGTTTTTATTGTGCATACAAATAGATAAATATGGTATTTTAATGATTAAGAGATATTCTAGAATATTTAGCTCTTGTTTGCGTCATATTTTTACCATTTAAAATATTTGACATTTTTATTCATTCTGTTCCTAGAAAACCAAATGTTATGAAAGTGACCTGCCAAGTGTTGATTGATTGTCTGACCTAGTTTTTGGTTTGAAAGAGAAGCCACTGCTGTAACTGCAGTTTCATGCTTTATATGATACTCCTGCTAGGCAAACAGCCATTCTGCAGAGAGAAACAAAAGAGACAATGTTTTTCTATCCACTGCTTTTTTTTTTTTTATATATACTTTACAATAAAGCTGCAGTATTTACAGGTTCAACTAACTTCAGCTTTTTCACATCATTTTTAGGATCAAATCACTTCTTCAACAATACTCTAAATGCTCTGTTGTGATTTACATTTTCTAAACTAAATTTTTCAGGGGGAAACTACTCTTAGATTTCCAATTGTCCAGAGATTTGTAATGTGTGCAGTTTGCACACAAAGATTCCTATTTAGTTTTATTGTTGGAGAGAGCTAGGCATCTAATTTAGAACAAAGAGGTCAGTAGGGAGAAGTGTATGATATCAACAGTCAGTTGCTCTTAAATGAAAACAATTTTGTCCTGAGAAACTATATTGACAGTGTATTAAGAGTGTTTCTTTTCTGTTCAGGTAAGCAAGCTGCAAAAGGATTTGGACCAGACAAGAGAGAAACTTTCGTCGAGTATGAACTCTATAAAAACATTCTGGTCTCCTGAACTCAAAAAGGAACGAGCTGTTAGAAAAGAAGAAGCTGCCAGATGCAATCTTCTTAATGAACAGCTGAAAGTCACACAGGCAGAGCTCAAGGTAATATAAGTTAATACGATAAGTGTGCATCATAAGGTATTCTTGGCAGTAAACTTTAATGTATAATTGATACTTGAAACTCCAGCTACATTTTAACAACAGCAATGTTTACCATTTTGAAACTCAGAAAGTCACTTGTCTTTCAAATTATGTGAATTTAAATTGTAAAAAAATGAAGTCGCTCTAGTAAACAGGATATGGAAATTGCAAAATATTTGATGGTAGGATGTTGCTGTAAATCATGCTTACATTTTAATTCCGGAAACGGTTCGCACACACAGAAACACAAATTATGTTAGATGAATTACACTAAGTAAATTTTTTTGTCATTCTCGTTAGAAAAACATGTTTATATTCTCTAGTGAATAATGCATTTTTCTTCTTCTTCTTTATGCTCACTGGCCATTGTCTTTTTCAAGAACTTGAGTTTTGCCTGCACATCTGCTTTACAGATCTGGTTTATTTTTATGCACAGTGTTGGTTTCTTGCCTGTCAAGTAGATGCACTCCAAATTCAAAGGAAACCCCTAATTAGTTGAATCTTGTGACCTACTTGTTATGGAGTCTATCCCTCCCCCGCCTCCCTCCCTACAACCCAGTAAACCCATTAGAAGAGTGCAGTGATTATTTAACTAGAATCAGCATTATTGATACTCAGGGCTTTCATAGCCAGTGCATATTCAGTGTCTTGTATCCACATTTGTGAAGTCGGCCTCTGCCTCTTTTGTCCAGAAACTGTACCCGCCATCAATTTTTTCCAGGCTACCGTGCCGTTTAATACAGCCAGAATACTTTAGCTTTCCGGACAGGATGCTATATATGAGCCAGTGCTCGATGTTCAGATAATGTAAGATATCTTAGATTTGTTCATCTTGGTCTACAGTATTGTAAGAATTTATCTGTAATATTTCAGTTCAGAAGCTCCCATTTTTGTCTTTAATGTTTGAGTAAGTGTCCATGATTCACATCTATAAGTTGCATAATCTCTAAATGTTTACTTCAGTTCATTTACAGGTGCTGTGCCATATGTTCTCCAAACTGTTTAATCTCTGTAGTGCTAAAGCAAGTCTTATTCAGGGTTAATTGTTTGTAATATTTCTTTTGGTGTTCCTTGTAGAGGCACAGAGAGCTTCTGAAAGAGATGGAGGATAAAGCACAGCTTGGCCCAGCTGGAAACTTAATTCAGGAAGTCTCAACTTTGAAACAGGTCATGGAATTTTCTGTTGTATTGTCACAGTTAATGCAATATTTTCTGGAACTAGTATTTACTTGTACTTCGACACGAAATTAAAATTCATAATTTCTGCAAGTTTAAGACTATAAAGAAAAGAACAGCCTTAGAGAAATGAAGAGCAACTTACATAATACTTTAGAAAGAGCATGCAGATCCTTTTATATCCCCCTTTCCCCGATAGTTTGTGGAGGGAAGATAAGAAGATAGATATGTATGCTGTGTATCTTCCTCTTCACATTCACTGACTGTAAACTCCGGCAAACATTTCTGGTTGCTCATCCACCTCTGGACTTGAGTCTTAATCCAGCTCCTGAGTCTTGCATCCACATCTGTTTTCCAATATAGTGTATTTGTACGCAGACTGTTGATTCCTTGCATATGCACTCTGACTTCAAAGGAAGACCTTACTTAGTCGACTCTTATGACGTGCTTGTTGCAGAGGTAGTGGGTCTGTTCTTGTTTTCCCCACAATGGGGCCCCAGAACCCGACGGGGAGTATGCTGTATATTATAAGAAGATAAGGAAGTGGCGGTTACAATGTCAGGCTCTCATAGGGAACACCCATGTTTGATCTTCGGTAATATGATGGAAGTTTTTCTGTCGGGCAAAAATAAACATGCTACCCGGCAGGTCCGTGGGGAAGACACTAGCTATGTGGCCTAAAGAAGTGGGCAAACTATGGCCTGTGGGCTAAAACTGGCCCTCTGAGCAGTTTTTACTGGCATGTGAGGCTGTTATAAAATTACTACATAATCTGGTCCTTGAGCTAAAAAAAAATAGCAGAACAAAAAAAACATACATTCGTGTGCACAAATAAATAAAAATATCAACATCCAAAACAAAAAAAATAATTCTTCGTTTGGCCCCGGGACCAGATAAGGTTGCCTACCCCTGCCTCAAATCCTCAGGCTTATGGCCCACCTGTCTACACCGCCCTAAAATGTCTTAAATACAAACAGTAGTGATCGTTTCATTCTTTGTGAGTTAGATATAAGATATTACGACATGTTCTTTATTTGTGTTAATATTATTAGTTTTAATTAAATATTAGAAATATTTCTTATTCATTCAAACAGGAGCGAGAGGTTCACAGTCGAGAAATGTTAATACTCAAGAAGACACTTGAGGAGCTGGAAATTAGGATTGAAAGTCAGAAACAAACATTGGAAGCCAGGGATGAAAGCATTAAAAAACTGTTAGAAATGTTGCATAATAAAGGGGTGAATGCATCACAGGTATGTATGGAATTTAGGTTAAAATGAAATAGTTTTTGCCACAGCCTGATTGTATTTCTTTATGTGAAATGTGCATTGTTACAAGCATTGCTTTACTAATAAAATTAGACCCAAAAAAAAATCAGATTTGAACAGATATAAAACAAATGAACACTAGAACTGGTCATCTTCACATTGTCACACAAATGACAAGTAAATGTTGAGACCAGAAGTCCTTCATTAGCTCATAATATGAATAGACTGTGTGACAGTTACAAACAAGAATGCATTAAATCACTTACCTGAGGTATTATCAAGAGAAACCCACATATCTGTCTGGCCAGTTGAAGCTCCGACACACTTGTGGATACAGGAACTGAATACTAGCCTGAAAATACTGTGGCCGAAAAGCCGTTAACTAAAATATTGGTTGTATCACAATTTCCTATATATTATGCTAAAAGTTTAAGAAGATTTGCTGATAAACTGAATATACTTTTTTAATTTTTTTTTTAAATTTTAATTAAACTAAAGAGGTATCTATTGTTGGTCTAGTAACATTTAAGTTCCTCACATATTAACTAAATTGAATGGTATTTTGAAGGTTATTTTTTAAATGAATATTTAAAGGTGAGAGAATGGACTCAATTACAGGGTTTTATCTCATGTGGCTAAATCTGTCCCTGAGGAGTGGTTGTTTAACCATCATGAGTGTCACACATAGCACGAATCCTTGTTGCTCCAGCTACAACTCCCTGGAATCAAACCTGCAGCCTTCAGAGTGTAACACAAATGGCTAAACCATGGAGACCCCCATTTATATGTTAATGCTTTCAAGCATCAGTATTTGTATGTATATTACTATTTGCTATTGTAGTGAAATTGCTATAATTTTTCAGTTATGTAAAATTTGCTGGAAATAAGTGACAAAATTAAATCCAAGATTGCCATATTCAGCTCCCTAATTGAGTCATATGTAAGGATGCTTTTTATATGAACTGGTTGTCCTTTAACTTCAGTTGCTGAACTGTAGAAGTCGTGTTTTGGTTGGAACAACTATTTGTATTATTTGCATATCTACAGCAGCTTGCCACCTGCACACTTAGATTTAAACATTACCCTATCTATACTAATTGTAAAGGCACAGTCAAGGTTTCTTGTTATATGTTAGTAATTGTTTGGAAACACAGTGAGGATATTTAATTCAGTATCAGAAATTTAAAGATAAAGGTAAAGTCGGGAGATGTGAACCAGCGTCATTGCACACGGTTATAAACCATAAGTGCTCTGCCACCAGTACGGACAGCTGATAAGAATTGTCCGCCTGTGTCGCCGTTCGCACATAACTCTGTAGCTACAGCGACATTCCTCCATTTACCCCAGAGTATCACTCTGGTACCCATTTCCTAGAGGCTGGGTGAACCCCGGGAACCGCCCGGTTTCGAACACCGACCGTGGGCTGCAGCGAGTCACAGCTGGATTTGAAAGCGAGCTTCTTATCAACTACGCTAACGCGGCCGCATCAGAAATGTATATCATGTCAAATGATTCAGTTTGTTCCTTATTTTCTTTTAACTATGTGGCAACTTTTATATTTTTTACCTCAGATGAATGAAGACAGGAAAGAACTTGAAGCCTTGAGGTCTCGGTTAAATGAAGAAGAGAAGAAAAGAAAGCAGCTGGAAGAGGATGTGGTTGAAAAGGATATTAGAATTATGGAATTAGACATGGTACAGATTGTTGTTTGTGTGTGTATATTTAGTGGTTGTGTAGATTTGCTAGCTTTCTTAACTCATTCAATATTACAGTCAACAAATACTATTATTATATTTCTTTGTTGCTGGTGGTGCCAGGCAGTTCTTGTCAGATATCTAATGTTTTGCTCTTTAGTTAAATTGTATGACTTGTTTCAGTTACACTCTTCTAACTTCTTGATTTTTAACTTTTTACCTTCTCTTGTTACTTTAGCAGCTTTTCTAAGACAGCTTATCCCTGTATTTATGCTGATTATTTTTAGGGTCCATGTTTGACACAGGCAGCATAAGCACAAGCATGTGACTGATTGTGCCCTTTCATAAACAATAATAAGCGTATATTGAGGTATGCCGGAGTGGTCAGAATACATGATGATTGGCACCCTTCCATCTTTCCAGGTGATAAAATGTTATATTGCTATGAAGAGGCATGGGCTGACAGCCCATAACGATAGCGAGTATGACTAGCAAGATCTGCCTGCGTTAAGGAAAGTCTTCCACAATGATAGCATGGGATTTCAGGACTATTGTTGTGAAAATTATTTTTTAGTTTGTTTCTTCTAAGACACTCAGCTCTTATCCTTTCTGCAATCTTATCATTCTCGTTCCCTTCCTGATGTGCCTCCTCCACACAACACTGTCCACAGCAATCTGTTCCCATGATTCCGTGCTTGCACATGTCTTTACATCGCAGTAGAGGTTGGCCTCGACATCTTGTAGCTGTCTTTAATTCACCATAAAGGATGTCCTTAGGGACTCTGCCATCCTCCATTTTCTAGGTGTGACTCAGCCACCTGAGCCTTCGTAGACCAAGCAGGGAGAAGACTGTTGTAATACCTGCTCTTTCCAGTACATAAGTGTTTGTGATCTTGTCCTGCCACTTAATGCCAAGTATTCTTCTTAGGCATTGCATATGAACACTTTTTAGCCGTCTCTCCTGGTTCAAATAAGTTGACCAAGTTTCACTGCCATAAAGCAGAGTGCTGAGAACACAAGCCTGATAGACAAGCAGACAAGAGTTTTTGTTTTAATCTTGGGCTTTCTGTTTTCCCGAACTCTTTTTTGTTAATCTGCTCATTGTTGTTGCTGCCTTACCTATCCTGATTTTGATTTCTTGATCCAGTGGAATACACACAAGGGTGGGTAAAAACAAGGGTCACTTAATTAGTCTGAATGTCCTATGGTAAGATGTGCAGTGCATGATGGGATGTGTGTATTTCAATCAAAAGGATTCATTTGTATGCTTAGTATGCACCTGATGAGATACAGTGAAATAAAGAAGCAATAGTCTATAATCTATCTTGGGGAAACCCTTCTTTAAAAGATGTGAGAAAGTATGGGAAACGACTAAAACAGACCCCTCCCCTCCCACACCCCCCCCCCCCCACACCCCAATACACCTACAAACATCATTAACTGGTGCCTGCACACAATAGAGGAATTAAATATAGTATGACAGAATCACTTATATAGATTTTTGAGGGAGAACTAAAACAAATCTCAGTGAATCTAGTTCTTTTTCAGTTTTTTCCTTCCACTGAACTAAGTTGTCTATATCTGCAAATTTAGTCTCTCTTATAAATTTCACTTCCTTGCTTGGTTCATTCAGTGGTGAAGTTTACTTTCCACTGTTGTGTTTTCTGCCAAAAAGTTTGCCTTAATGTATTATATTCAGAACAGTCGTGGATTAGGTGTTTTGCTGTCTGGGGCAACATAACACAGAAGAAATGACAAGATTCTGGTTGAGAAAATGTTATGATAGTATTTCTGTGCACAGAAATCTACATGGCTGAAGGAATAAAGGAAGATCTAAAAATACATGAAGGAGAGATAAAACTGACATATAAATAATAAGGAAACAGGTGAGGAGCTTGGGATGGCAAAAGGGTTGGAAGATTTGGTGTGTGAGCATGTTGAGGGCCTATGCTGCACTGGGGGATAGACAGCAGAAAACAACTTATACTATACTAATTTCTTTCTTTGTACTGTATATTGCAGGAAGTGACCAAGTTGAAAGAAGGTAAATTAGATGTACCAGGATTACCAGGGGATCATAAGTTGCAAGCCATGCTCGAAGCAAAGGTAATTTGTGTTGTTCAATGTACAGAAATAGCAATTTTATTGTTGTGACTGTTAATAGCATTGTACAAATAAGCCAGATCTGTAGCTTTTTATAGCATCATTGACCCAAATCACTTAAACACTTTTCTTATAAATCATAATTTTAAATTCACACGCATGCACACACACTCTCTCTCTTTCTCTCTCTCTCTCTTTCTCTCTCTCTCTCTATCCCTCTCTCTTTCTCTCTCTCTCTCTCTCTCTATCCCTCTCTCTCTCTCTCTCTCTCTCTCTCTCTCTCTCTCTTCCTCTCTCTCTCTCTCTCTCTCTCTCTCTGCAGGTTTGCCAAGGATAGCAAAAAATCTGCTATGGCTGCATGTATATGAAGGGTGAAGGAGATAATTGTGTGTCACAAGCCATCAGTATTTCCAAGAAGTATATTTTATGTTCAATAAATCACAATGAAACTGCCAGTTCAGTGTTTAGTATTTCTTGTGTTTACTATTTATGCATTATATTTTGATGTAAAATCATGACTGTAGATTCTATTCTTGCAGATCATTATACTGAAAAACATTTTTCCTCATGTGGGTTCCGGGGAAAACAAGAATAGACCCACTGCCTCCTTAACAAGCATGTCGTAAGAGTAGAATAATTAGGGGTTTCTTTCGGAGTCGAGTTTGTCTGCCTGAAAGCAAGGAGCCAAGAGTTTGCTTACAGATAAGCCTGATCTGTGAAACAGATGTACATGCAGCATTCAAGTTCTAGAAAAGGATTAAAGTTTAGACGTGGATAAACAACCAGAACTTTCTGCCAGAACCTCCAGCCAGTGAACATGAAGAAGAAGAAAATGTTGACTAAGTATTCTATAATAATTAATGGTCGTAACATAAACCTACTTGAAGCCCTACAAATCCTGCTAGACAAGTGAAAGTAGGCAGACCCCATCCACAACAGACATTTGATAAGTTGGTAAGAATGCCCTGGTACTATCTGCCACAGCGAGCCACACTAAAATGTTACAACGGGTATAGAGTGAGTGGAAGACCTAGGAAAATATGGATGATGGCATTAAAAACAGCCTTACAGAAATGAACATCAGTCCTAATAGTGCTCTTGACAGAGCTCATCAATGAATGTTACATCTCCCTCCCACACTTCACTGAGGTACAAGGTGGAAGAGAAGAAGAAGAAAAAGAAGTTAGTTAGTTAATCAAAAGATTATCCTCTTTGCACATCGAACAAGTCCTTGTGACATTTGATGAGAAAACTAGCCTAGTTGTATGGACTGAGTGCAAAATTAGGGAACATTTTCATTGACTGATTGTCCTAATGTGCCATTATATGTCACATAGGGTTCGCAGTCTGTTTCTCCATTCCATTCTGTCATGTGCTATCACTTCGATATCATGGATGGAATCCAGTCAGGCACCTTTGGCTTCTATCATCATCATTCACCTTAGGGTTTCTCTTTCATGTCGTTGTTTCCTTAATCCCTGTTTTCCTATTTCAAAGCCTATTTGCGGATGCTTTGTCTCCTCTCATATGTCCAATATAGTGACATCTTCTCTGTCTTATAACTGTTAATATTATTGGTTTCTCAGACATTTATCTTATTTCTTTACCCATCTTGATTTGAATTCATCCCATTTTATGTTAATCATTTTAATTAGGAACATTTTTTCCTTAAATAAAGCACAGTCAATGCTCATTTGTTATCTACAAATGTTTTGCATAATTTCATTTATAAGTAATTCTCTGACTGTACCCAATGGTTTTTTGTTTTTTTAAGTAAATGTACTCCTATAAGGGGCCTCCTAAATACTGAACGCTGCGCAAGCACTGACAGAGCCACTGCCATTGATTAGGCTTCTCAGGGACAAGTTACTGCAGTTGTACCAGTTGAGTGGAATTTATGTGGATTTGAAACAGATGGATGTGCTTTGTTTGTGGCATACTGGATCAAAAGGGTCAAATTTTGATCACCTGTGCATTTATTTCAGGACTCAAGGATTGAAAATCTTGAAACGGAAGTGCAGCAGCTAGAAGATAGATTGCTAAAAGCTAAAGAAGACAGTGCTGGTCTGTTGTCCTCCCACGGCCGAGAGTCAACATTCAGAGATCTCAGCAGTGCAAAAGAAAAACTTCTAACAGCTGAGGTTATTATTATTATTTTTTTTTAACTTTAATTCTTCTTATGTGGCTTCTGTGATCCTTTTGGAGAAGATTGGACCCAGTGTCCTCTGTAAAACAAGCATGTCATAAAAGGTAACTAATTAGGGGTTTGCTGGGTTGATTAGTGCAGATCTCACAGCCTAGCTGTAACCACATCAAAATGTGTCATCTGTCCTTTTAAGGGCTAATGCAGGGGAGGGGGAGAATAAAACTCTTAATTATTTGTGAATGTTCTGGGACTCTTCCATTACATATGTAAAGATGAGACTGACGGTGCCACTCTTTCATTACATATGTAAAAATGATACTGACAGTGCCACTGGTCCATTTCATATGTAAAGATGATACTGACAGTGCCAGCACAGTTAAACTATTATATATACCATTTTTAGAGTCATTGAACTCTCATCTTTGGGTGACATTCCTTGTCTTTTGTGCCATGTGGCATTGATAGTCATGTCTATCCACACCCTTCTGTCTCGTATACTTTCAGTCAGCTCTGACACAAATGTTCCTGCATGTCATGATGTCAGACAGTCCAGCATCTTCTCTCTCTGTCTCCCTTTGCCTCTCTTACCCTCCAGCTTTCCTACCGTCACGATGTACTACAGTTTTCTACTTCTCATCAAATGACCAGATAATGTAGATGGTCACTTTCTGATGTGGACAATAGGATCTCTTCGTAAGTTATTTTCTTTCAAGACATCTTCATTACTCTTTGTCCAAATAATTTTCACTAATCTGCCAACTGTCATTGATTCATTTTGATATATCAGGATAGGATTTATACAGCTTTTAAGATTTCTCTTTCTCATCTCAGTTGACAAAGAAAGATTGCATAGAATATTGTTCATAGTGAGACTTAAAAAATACCCGGTATGTTAAATATCGATTTTCCACTGGTGCAGTCTTGGTCTTCACTCTTTCATGAGAATAAACTAGAATGTTTCTGGCCAGAGACCTACATAAAACATATCTACAGTCACTTCACTACATGATCCCACTTATTTACATTAATTTTGTTAATGTTTTATATCAACTCTCAGCTTTATTAGATGGATTTCTTTAAATAGGTTGCTGAAAGAATTGTGGTTTTCTGCTCCCCATGCTGTTTGTGATAAATAAACTGTCCTTAGATACTCCAGCCTGCTGAAGTCTTTCGAATACCATTTTAAAATGTACATAAACAATTTTTAAAAAAATTTTTAGTGGCCTGTTAAAAAAAAATTTGGTTGGGGGGGGTGGGTTAATACCTATGGGTTTATTACTTTTTGTGTGTGTGTTCCTGAGGCAGAATGGTTAATCTTATGATTCCAATTCTTTTAAAATTTTCTTGTAGATTCTTTGTACAGTTCAGGAAAATTTCATTATACTGTTAAATACACATTGTAGTGTAATCAGAATGTGATGTAATATCAAGACGAAAATTACTCTGTAAACTTTTTTGTTGTTGTTGCTTTCTGGTTTAGATCCAGGCTTTGAAAAATGAAATCAGTAAGAAAGATGCTGAAATGTCAGGCCTGCGTCTCAAAGTTGACACCTTGGAACGGCAGCAGTCAGAAAGAGAAGGCCATCTAGCAGTGCTTAAAGATCAGATTGCATCCAAGGACCGCCAGACAAGCATGTTACAGGCAGACGTGAGTCGTTGTTCAGCAGATAATATTGATATGCTTTTATAAAAAAAATTGTTGTATATTATCTGCAAGAATTGATTCCCAGATATAAATTGTGATTGTATGCAATGCCTTTGGGGTTTGTAAAATGTATACAGTTTATTATACCTTTTTATTTAAAGTACAACAATGCAGATGCCAACATACAACAATGCAGAAGCCAACATAAAACAATGCAGATGCCAACATACAGCAATGCAGATGCTAACATACAGCAATGCAGATGCCAGCATACAACAATGCAGATGCCAGCATACAACAACGCAGATGCCAGCATACAACAACGCAGATGCCAACATACAACAATGCAGATGCCAACATACAACAATGCAGATGCCAACATACAACAATGCAGATGCCAACATACAACAATGCAGATGCCAGCATACAATAACGCAGATGCCAGCATACAACAATGCAGATGCCAACATACAACAATGCAGATGCCAGCATACAACAATGCAGATGCCCCCAAAAAAGTTAGGACCAATGGGGAAAATGTAAACAGCTATCAGAAAGCAGCTGACCAGAAGCATCATGCCAGCTTCATAGTGCTGGTCTTCTAATAAAACCACAGGATGTTTTGGGTATATTTCAAAAGTTGAGTTGGTCCTGATGCAGAAAATACTGGAAATGATCCTTAGTAAACAATTAAGTTGGCCATGTACAGAAAGCAAATTATTGTTGTATCAGGCCTAGATCACTTACCCATCAGATGGTGCATGGTAAATGTTTTTATGGTTGCCTGTTCTTGTGTTAAATTAGCTTTTTTTTTTTTTTTTAATGTAAGTAAAGGACTATTTTTCATACCTTGAGGCATACTTTTTTATTATACTTTTATTGACCATTCATCACTCATTTTCTGGTGTGTTCATTGGGCTGACCACTTTTACTTCCCAGAAAAATTCCTGGTACCCATTTAGGCTCGGCCGAAGGAGCTCAAGTAGATGGGGGGGGGGGGGGTTATTTATCTGTCTCTTTCAGATGTAGGCAAACTAGAATGACACTAATTATGTTATCCATTTGAGAGCATTAAACAAACAATATATTATGCTCGTTGAAGAAAAAGTATAATTTTTGTTTTATCTGTTACCCACAAATGTAGATTGAAGGTCTTCAAGACAGGGTTAAATCTAAAGATGAAACCATAGAGCGCAAAAGTAAAGAGTCCTCGGCTTCTCAGGCAGAAAAACGGCGGTCAGAGCTGGAGGTCATGGAACTGAAAGATCAGCTAGAGATTAAAGCAAACAGAATCAGCAGCTTACAGAGAAAGGTAACACAGATGTCTGCTGGCTGACAATATTTGTACTATTTGACTTTCATATTGGCTGGTAAATAAATTAGTGATAATTCTAGTCATCTTAAATATTAACCATTAATTACATTATTTCCCTATGTAGGTTCTGTGGACTCCATTGTTGGTAAAACAAGAATACACCTATCGGCTTCCCTACCAAGCATGTCGTAAGAGTTGACTAATTGGGAGCTTTCTTTGAAGTCAGGGTACATCTGCCTAAGAGGCAAGGAACCAACAATCTGCATTTAATTAAGTCAGATTTATTAAACGGATGTGCACACAACACAGGTTCTGGAACAAAGCTAAGGTCCAGAAGTGGACAGACAACCAGAACCTATTATCAGAGTTTACAGCTGGCGAATGCGAAGAAAAAGAAGAATATAATTGTTTCAGACTACTTTGGTTAAAAGCTAGGTCATACAATATTATAGCCGTTTAATAAAACATTTTTAAACGAGAACACTCGATTTAATTAATGTTAGATTATGACTTTTTTGAAATTCTTATGCATGGGTTGGTTTCTATTGTTTCAGATTGAAAACCTCGAGGACACTATTAGGGAAAAAGAAGATCAGCTTTCGCAGGCAAGAATTCGCCTGACTTCAACTTTCACAGAATCACCCAGTGATGCTACTTTAACTGCTCTAGAGGAAAATCTTGCTGAGAAAGATAAACAGATTGAAAGGTGAATTGTGGTTTTTGTTTGTTTCTTGTTGTTGGTATGGTAAAGTAAAAGTCGAAACTATCCTTTTTTGTTTCACACTGATAGGCTAATTGGGTATATAGTACTTGGCCTATATTTTATAGGCCAGTCAGCAGTGAAATGGTACCTGCGCAGAATGGGAAGAGTAAAATCCTGTGACAGTCACCAGTTTGGAGCTCACTGAGCTAGCTGAACAAAGCCAGTGAATCAAGAGATACACTTGCTGGCTAAAACACAGTTTTAAGAACTTTAAAAAAAAAAATTAAGTCCTTGTACGGAATGCACAGGGCAGAGAAAAAAGGCGGACACCTAAAATACTTGAAGAAGAGAATTAGAAGCAGAGGGGAAAATATTTGACTGAAATAAAACAAGCTGCAGGAGAAATCAAAGGATGGAATGGCTTGACATGAGTGAGTTAATTGAGTTGCTGTATTCAACTGAGAAGGAAAAGGTAGAAGCGGAGGATGCCTGGCTTTGTTCTTTCATTTGATCAATTATTATCATACAGAAGATTGAACGACATCAAGAACAACTCTAGAGGAATGAAGACCAACTTATACAGTACATAAGAAAGAGAAAGTGAAGCTGCAGGTTCCATGGCCCTCATTGTGGAGAAAACAAAACACCCACTGTCTCCGCAACACACATGTCATTAGAGTCTAGACTAAGTGGGAGCTTCCTTCACTTCAGAGTCAGAGTGCATCTGCCTTAGAAGCAAGGAACCAACAATTTGTATACAAATAAGTCAGATCTGTAAAATGGATATGCATGCAACACTCAGGTTCTGGAACAGGATTGCAGTCCAGAGGTGGACGAACAACCAGAACTTTCTGCCAGGAGCCTCCAACCGGTGAACGTGAACAAGAAGATTAGAAAGAGCACTTCAGTGATTACCCCCTTCCCTTTTTTTTTAAACCTCAAAACTTTGCTGAGATGACACAATAAGAAGAAATTGAGTGCTTTTTGGTTAAGAAAAAAATATACACCATTTTCAGATATACCACTGTTTCTAGCAACCAATTTTATTTACCATTTACCGTTGTATTATTAATGTTGTTACTGTCATTATTCAAAGTAGTTATGCAACAAGCTACTCCTTAGTTCTTCCAGATTTTAACTGACATATTTTTCTAATAATAAATGCATTCTCTGTTGTATGAAAGCATCTGTAAACTCCCTTTATTTAATGACTTATTTACTGAAGAGTTAAAAAATTAAGTGTCTGTCTGTTTCAGACTGAAGGAACAGAGAGACCTCAGTGAGAAAGAACACCAAGAGGAGATAGATATATACATGAAGAAAGCTCAGGATCTGAAAGGCACACTGGATAATTTGCAGAAGGATCTAACAACAAAACAGACAGAGGTTTGTGAAATCCAGATCTAAACTTTATTCAGTTAAGCATTAAGGAACTTTTTTTTTTTTTTTAAACTAAGAGCTGCTCAGAAAAGTAAGTGTCCCTAATTTTTTCACTGAAACAAATCAAACACAAGCTTTTCTGTTGTTAAGTAAACATTTAGAAAACCTTATTGTGCATTTGTATTTTCTCCCCTGCAGAGACCATTATTTGCTGACCATCAGCATGTGAGTCTTCTTCTTTTCATTCTGCCTGCGAGTGGTTATCAGATGAGAGGCCACAGACCCTGGTGAAGGCTGTGGTGGAATGCATGCCCTCAACTGATCCATAAAGCTGGGTTTCCACACGAATGCCACCTGACCAGACCTGGTATCTCCCTGCTGCATGTAGAGAGCATGTCCGTGTTCTGTGGTGCCTAACCACATGGGTGAAGTTTTGAGTTCCTAATCTATAATTTCTTGTACATATGGCTGCAGAGTCTGTTGTATCCACTTTGGGGGTCTCCGTGGCAAAGTGGTCAAGCCCTTTGCCTCGCAATCTGAAGGTCGTGGGTTCATTTCATGGTGACGCCTTTCAGTTCACAAGTGCAGTGTCGCCGGAGCTACGGAGGTGGAGCTGTGTGTGGCTCTGTCGACAGGCAGCAAGCAGTCCTGCATAGAGAGACTGAGAAATTTGGGATGAAACCTGGTACAATAAAGTTGACCCCTCACCTTTACCTATGTGTCCAGTTTACAGTCAAAATAAAATAGTCTCTTGTTTTTATATAGAATGTTTACTGAGTCTTTGGGATGGGAATTAATTATTATAGACATTTCCATCCACTGTGGAATGACTTGATCCTCACAGTTTGATGATACCCGGAGGGGCAAAACTATTCAAAAGGTTCACTCTTTTGGTAACAATTCCACGACCATCACACAAGTTAAGGAGTCTTAGAATCACCTTAAAGATGGCCACACATAAGTGAAGAGCTGGCCGCTCTCAGAGTACTCCCTGGCAAGCTTAAATGACTCCATGACAAGTGTGGGCTTTGGTCATGCAGAGGTGTTGTAATCACTGTCCGACAACTTACAGGCTGAGTCTGGAAATCACATGGACATGCTGAACTGTACAGTGGTGACACCCACCTCCTGAAAGCATTGATCACTAGTAATGAGTCATAGGCTTATGCGTTCGATCCAGAAACTAAAATGCTATTATCCAAATGGAGACATCATAGCTGAAGCCATAGCAAGCAAGGTGTGCAGTGGACTTTATTTGTAACCTTAGTAGTGATGCAGAGTACTGCCAGTGGCCACATTTAATTGGCAGAAGAAGCTTGGCATCTGCTTGTTCTTCGCATATGATTGTTTGGGCCGCACACACCATTTCTCTTATGGTACGGCTCTTTGCAATATTTGACTTTTCTCCAAGCTAAAAATACTACTGAAGGGAGCCCAGTTTGGTTGACAAGACGTCATGTGAAATGTGTTGACAGAATTGTCTTCCATTCATAAAGAGACTTTCTTGAAATGCTTCTAACATGGTGGATTTGCTGGGAGAATTATATGCAGTCAGAGGATGGCTACTTTGAAAGAGTTGTGGATTTAAAACCCTCAGGTGATGATGTTTTACCCAGATACTTGTTACATACTTTTTAACACGCCTCGTATTTGAATGTATTGTCTTTTTCTAGCTATTTTCATTACTGTAGTGAAACTTTATTCCTGTAATTGATTTTCATTGTTATTGTTATAGATATGTGAGCTCAGAGAAAAGACCACAGAACTACAGACAAAGAAGTTTGAGCAAGATGGGAAAATCCGCAAGCTAGAATCAGAACTTCAAGAAAGAAAAACAGATTTTCAGAGGGTCACACTTGAACTGGAAGAGGCCAGACAGAGGATATCATTACAGGTAAGCAATTGAAGTACTATGATAATCTTCAAAAAGAATGCTTTACAAAATGTTTAAAAATGTGACAAAAAAGAGCATGCTTAATTGCAAAGTATTATTCTACAGTATTGCATGATCGGTGAAAATTCAGACGAAGCAGATGCAATAATCTATACAGACGGATCCGTTATACCCCAAAGAAGAAGCGCATGGGCATTTACAGCACGCTCAGCGGGCAGGACAGTCAAAGAAGCCAACGGCGCCTTCTCCATGACAACCAGCAGCATGACGATGGAGGTGATGGCAGTGACGCAAGCGCTTGCCTGGCTTGAAACACAAAAATAAACCCGCATGTGTATACTCAGTGATTTAATGAGTATGATCTGGAGGGTTCAGGCAGGTTCAGTGCGAAGACAATGGCTTGAATCATTACAGAAGTCCACTGTGCATGGAGTCACCTTTATTTTTGTTCCGGGACACGCAGGCGTCGATGGAAATGAAAGAGCTGACAGGTTGGCTGGATCCGCTATCACTACCGACGGTCAGCCTATGGATCATGGATCAATGCCCTCAGAGAAATGGGAAGGATAGAGGACTTTGGTGGCAGTGAATCCACATCACTCGCCAGAATGGCAGACTTGGGAATTGAGATCGGCACAGCAAAAAACGAGACGCACACCAGACACGCCAGAAGACTTGTTAATCAACATAGAACTGGTACTATTAGCTATCGGACGTTGGGGTTCATACTGAGGGGAGGATCTGAGCACCTATGGACATGTCCGGAGTGCAATGAGGATAACCCAACTAACTAACTAACTAACTAACTAACTAACCAAATTGCATGATCATAATTGAATGTCTTGCTGACAGGCTGTCCACAACCAATGATCTCCAATAACATGTTTCAGTTCCTAAGTTGACACCCACTTGATGCCATGACAGAAGGCCACCAAGAATCTTTTCACTTTGTTTTCTTCTGTTTTTCTGTCTACAAATCTTCCCAGTGGTCTCAACATGTTCCAGTTTCCCTGTTCTGTTAGCATGGCCAAAAAATAGTGATGACTGTCTGCTTCTGGTGTTTGTGATGTTCTCTTTTTTTGCCCTCGCCTTTTTCAAAACATCTGGGTTACTCATTTTGGCCATCCAAGGAATGAATTCTGTAAACCACATCACTGAGGCCTCAAGAATGGTTTGGCTTGTTTATTAATTGTCCAGAATTCACAGCCCTATGTTAAAACTGGCTCTTTATATAGCATGCGAGAATTCTGTTTACAGTATTGCATAATTAAAAGCATACTCAGCTAGGACAGAGTTCATGACTTGATAATGCCAGGGGCTTCAAGTGAAAACGTTAAAAATGTGGTAGAAATTACAGTAGCCATGCCACTGTCTTGTAACCTCTCAGTATTGTTGTTAAGGATGTCAAGAATGTTAAACACCTGACAGGTGTACAGACGGGCACAGTGATGTTATAATGACAATCTAAAGATGGCAGCCACACTTGTAACAAGCCCGAAAGAGATGCAGTGTTCTATTTTCCATTTTGAAACTTTCTACTCCACTCATTTACACTTGCTGGACTGACAGGTGTGCATCACCATATTGTAGCTTCATTCACCAAACATCTGATTACATTCCTTAAAACAACTGTCTTTCTATTCCATGGCCCATTCCTATCACTCAGGATGAGTTTACAGATCATTTAATTTTGTTGTGTCTTGGCAAACTATCAACATATCTTTCCTAGTTTTGCAGTAAAAACTTGCACTTGATTAGCATGAACGAAAGTTTATTCCTAGCAGGCATGTTATTATTAATCCCCGGATTGCACAAAGTTTTTAACACAGGCTCTTGATTTTTTAGTTGAGTTTTTTAGCACTCATCAGACTTGCAGTTTGACATGTACATTTTATTTATACAGGTGTAAATAGACATTCTGAATGGCATGGAGTGTGGTTACTGGCTTGCTGCATGGACATTTTTTAAAAAGCTTTTATATGTCTAAGACCATAATCATGTTGATGTTCTAGATATATAACAGAATATGTGAGCTTTCATTTTGTAACCCCCTAATAAATTGTTTATCTTACAGTGATGCCGGAATAAAATAATCTCTGAGCTGATTTTTTTTTTTAATATTATTTTGTTCATTATTAATTGTTTTCTTTCGCCCTTACAGGAGAAATTAGAATTAGAATCCAAGAAGAAAGAAGGACAACCTGCCAACTTAAGTAAACTAGAAAGCAGTCATCTGCAGACAGAGATAGAAAAACTTCAAGATATGCTTAAAGAAGCTGAAGCTGAAAAACTTGAGAGAGAGACGGAGATGAAAGAACTACAGGAGTAAGCAAAACTTGTACTTGTTTCATGATATGCAAATGAAGCCACATATAAGGTCTTCTTCTTCATCAGTATTCTGAGCCCTTCAGGCTCATGGCGGCAGATATCTTGCCTGCTTCTGATCTGTTATTGGCCTTCTCTTTCCAGTTTATGATTAAAAAAATTGTGTAAGGTCTACTTGGATCTTATCTCTCCACAATCTTCTTGGTCCAGCTCATGGTCTACTTCCATTCAGCTCCCTTGTTGTGTACACAAGTTTTTGCCTCTCTGTCATCTACCATTCTCTCATTATGCCTCAGCCATTTCTGCCTATTAGCCATCATGATGGTAGGAATCAATGGTTAGTATAATGTCATTGTTGCTTCTCCTTCTGCATTCCCAGCTGTTTACATCTTTGATGTCATCTACCATCCTCTCATTATGCCCCAGCCATTTAAGCCTTTTAGCCATCATGATGGTGGGTATCAGAGGTGATTAAACATTTAATCAATGTCATTGTTGCTTCTCCTTATGCATTTCCAGCTGTTTACATCTCTGATGGATCCAAAGTTTTGCAGTAAGACTTGTTTTCCTTCAAAACTTGTAATAAAGCTTCATTCTTGTTAGTTGTACTCCTTGTATTCCGGGTTTCAGAGTCATAAGAGAACCGATCGTTTTGGTGTTTTATATATTGTGATCTTGGTGTAACGGTATGGAGCCTTTGATTCAGCAGGTCTAAAGCACGGATATTCAGCTGGCAACCTGCAGGACGAATTTGGTCCATAGAGGCCCAGCAGGTGGCCTGTGGATCAATGCCAGGTGTATTGTATCAGTGATCTGTGTATGCTGGGGCTTGGGCCTCTGACCTGCGATGATCCCCATTTTTCCCTGAGTAAACTGAGCTGAATAGCCATGTTGTGAGGTATAGATACCTTATTTCCAGCTTGTGTTCTATACTGAATGTCTTCTTTTGTATGTCGGAGCAGCTGAAGTTTGTACCCAAGTACATGTATGTTTCCATTCATTTTGATTTTCATATTATCATTTTGTCTGTGGCCAGAGCTTTTGTCATTTCCCTGCCTTGTTATCACCATATATTCTGTCTTAGCTATAAGGTCAGATAACATAAATGATACTTTTCCATGCCATGAGGTGGTATTGGGTATATGGCTGGTTGGTTGGTTAGTTAGTCAGCAGATCTTCCTCACACCATTCACTATATAAATACTCAGATTCTCTTCTGAGTATATCCCTTAGCACCTTGTGACATCATTTCTCTTTCTTGATTGGTCTCCTGCTTAGCACACTTGTATTACAGTGTTTACAGCATATTTTTTGGACTAATCGGCACTCAATGGGTGATGTGGCCGGTATCATGACAGCCACCTTTACTTCTCTGAAATTTCCTAGTATCCATTTTAGGTTGATTCCACTTTGTCACTGAGGTCAGTTATAATTAAATCCACACATCAAGGGAGATTTCAACACATTACCATCAAATCAGCAGGCTAGTAGTATTCTACAGTTGCTCCCTTGACAGTTATTTAAAAAAAAGTTCACAAACTGTTATTGCTGTCTGAATGTACTACTGTTTTTTTAGGGTGCTGTAGGACAGAGGAGTCTTGAGTCAGAAGATTTAAGATTGCATGGCTAGGGCAGTCACACTGGTCTGAACAGTTCGGCTTTTATTTTTGCTCCCCCGCCAGACCCACACACACACAAAAATCGATCACCTTACAAGCATTTTTTATTAACCTTCGAGCCAGCCTCTCCTCTTTCACCATTTCGGTGGGCAGAAATTATAGCCTTTATCACTTGATGTTCAGATATATGTTTCCACAAGTTACCTCTCTAAAAATGATTTTCCATATGACAATATTCTGGTGAAGCATGCCATTGTTTGCCGTGTATTACAGTTGACCTCTTTTGAATATGGCCCTTTTGAATGTTAGGAGGTATTTATTATAAAGAGTATTTTAATTTGTAAGATATACAAATTTGCATTTGTTGATTATTTAAAAAAATCACTTCCGCTCTTCAGAATTGTATTTTATGAGCAGAAGTTGACAAGTATAGATTTTAGAAACACACTTTATGTTTACTTTTCTATAATAAAACAGAGTGGTGAAGGAATATAAACAGAAAATGGGAACTCTGAAAAGAAACCAACAAACAGAAAAGAAGAAGAATGCTCAGTTGCTGGAAGAAGCCAGAAAAAGAGAAGATTCAATGACTGATGATGCCTCAAGTTTATCTGTAAGTGCAGCGGTTATTTATATCACGTATTATGTATGATGTTGACATTTTAAACAGTAAATGTGATGCAGCAGCTATAAATTGTGGCATTATGAATTGTATATATAACTAATATAATTAGAACAAATCAGTCGTATTATATACAGGTGGGCAGCACACATGTTGCATCTTTCATGGGCAGAAGTAGATTTATATCCAAGTGGCACACAGCTGTGGAGGCCTCAAAGAACTGATGTGCTAGGTTGAAACAATACATGCTAAGAGCACATCAGCATATTGCTGGAGATCTTGCAGATAAGCAGTACATGCACGAGCTCTTGTACCATGGTACAATTGATGACCCATTCAGTGTACAGTTCAACAATTTGCAAGGTTTAACAGCACAGAGGAAAGCTGCCAAAACATTTGGGCAAAGGCACAGAGGAAAGCTGCCATAACATTTGGGCAAAGGCACAGAGGAAAGCTGCCAGAACATTTGGGCAAAGGCACAGAGGAAAGCTGCCAGAACATTTGGCCAAAGGGGGTGATTTGTTGAACAGATAGGCAAACGCAGCATTTGGCTGAATAGTTTGGCAATAGGAATGACTGAATTAATTCTTAAACGACTCACACTCGAGAATCTACCTGCTTTTCTTAAGAACTCATCAGAGTAATAATAATTATGCCAGAAATATCCTTTCCATACTTCTTGATGTGTAGAGTGCAGTGTTTGATACTGGGTATTTATGTCTTCCTGAGTAATATTTCTGGCTACTGGATATTGTACAGATTTTACTTATACTATTTTTTAGATAATTATAATTGTCCTATCCATTCTGAGTTGTCAATAAGTGACATGAAGTATTTGTATTTTTCTTTGCAATACTGATCTCCTATATAGCAGCCTTTCTTCTGAATGTGCCTTCCAGATCTGAAAAGCTGCCTATTTTTAACACCTGTATCTCATTTCCATAGATTTATTTCAGTGGGTCATATAGTCAAAGGCCCAGAAATACCCTTGGATATCTTAATCAGAGTGCCAGAATGGTATACCACCCCATAGCCCAGAAGCATCCTTGGATATCTTGGACCTAGACTGCCAGAATGGTTTACAACCCCAAGGCCCAGAAGTATCCTTGGATATCTTAGAGGGCCCAAATGGTGTATCACCACAGGCTCATCTCTTCCTTGGTCTTTCTCTTGCCTTACAACCAGACATTCTGCTATAGAAGGTCTTAGATACAGTTTGGTCTGGCTTCATTTTTACTAGATGGCCAAACTGCCTCATTCTCTTGTCTTTCAATGTAATGTTCCTACCTTTTCTCTTATGCTGGTATTTGTGTCCCTGTCCTTCCATTGTTGTAGGTGACCTTTCAGAGAAAGCTGATTTTGCAGGTGGTTATGTTCAGTTCCATGTTTGGCATTGATAGCACAAGGTGGGGATGATGTTCAGCTGATATAGAGCATTGTATTTTTATAGTTTGTCAAAGTGTCATTATTAAATGTAAGTTTGGCAAGTAGACATTTATCTTGTACTTGGAAGAAGAGACTATAACACAATAACATTGTATCACAAACATCAGAAAAGAGTATAAGTTTTTTATGTCAGCGATATGAGCTATATTGTTACAACTAGAAACATTTATGGGGGGGGGGGGGGGGTAAATAAGAAATAATGAAATAAAACACATGACAGCCATTCATGCTATGGAAATGTAATAATACACATAATGATGCATTACTGAGGTCACGAGATATAGAAAAAGTGAGGTTGCCAGCGTGATTAGGCAGTAATTAGAGCAGACAGATAATTTCTGTTTCAGTTCTGCTGTTGGTTTTAATGTTGCTGTTGATTGTAATATACATGTTATGTGATTAACACAAACAACTCAATGCTGTCTGTGCAGAGTGCAATTAAGAAAAGTAATGATCGAGTAGAGGAGCTGGAGGAAGCATTGAGACAGAGCGTCATTATCACAGCAGAAAGGGAAATGGCCATGGCAGAACTACAAGTACAAATTGATGATGCAAAAACTGCTGTAAGTCAAATGTGCCTCTTTCTCTTCCATCCACTGACTGTGAATATCTTTGTCATTTTTAGCAGTATCCAGACTTTTTAGAAAGTGCAGTGCAGTGTTGAAGTTCTGTGTGTGTTTTCTAGTAATGTTTCTGACATTTCTTAGACTTGGTCATATCATGCAAAATAAAGCATTGAATTTCAGATTGGCTAATGTCATTTCAATTTTAACGTATGCAAGTGAAAGTTGGAGAGCCACCAAATACATGAAACGGAAGTTAAATGCATTCAAAAACAAACATCTGAGGAAAATTGTGAAAAAAAAAATGGGATGAATTCAAAAAGAGTGAAGAGATAAAAGAAATATCTTGGCAATCACTAATATCAACAGCTATAAGACAAAGAAGATGACGTTACATTAGACATACCCTATGAAACCAGCAGAGAATCATCAGACAGGCATTAAAATGGGAAATAAAAGGATTCAGGAGGTGAGGACGCCCAAAAGAAACCCTAAGACGAGTGTTGATGAGAGAGACCAAAGCTGCTAGACTGGATCCTATCCCTGATATTTAACTCTACACAGGATAGAACAGAAAAGAAGAATAGGCACAACGGGATCATGAATTCACAGACTTAACCATAATTAGGATGAACTCATTGTGGTTTTATTGTTATAAATGGCTGGCAAATTGGAATTCTGATCCTCATACATTTAAAAAAATCTTGGTTCTGATCCACAGTAAGACATAACTTTTATTTAGCAGAGGTAGGTTGTTTTTTTTTTTTCTTTCTTCATACTAGTCTGCATTCTAAATGTTGACTGCGTGAACAAGCAGCATTTATTCTCAGCCTTTCACAAAGTTCATCCATGGTGTGGATGCTGCATTTTAATTTTACTTCTTTAGGAAACCTCTAACAAATTGGTCATATCAGGGTTTTATAATGACTAGTTTAATGCTGAAGAAATATGTATGAACATGTTTGCAAACATTTGTTACACTTTTAAATGAAACATACTGAAATAGTACTGTTGATTTAATACCAGTGGAATTGTTCACTCACTACAAACTGTTATTCTCTTCTTCCCTTCCTCATTTACCGCTTTAGACATTGGAGAGACATGAGGTTCTGCTTCTTACTCTTATGTCTTCCTCGACCGTAGAGTTTTTCTGATGTAATCTTTCCATCTTGTTCTTGGTCTGCCTCATGCTCTACGTCCCTCTTTATTTGTGTTATCCTTGTATCGTATGTCATCACAAAGCATTCTCTGAAAGTGGGCAAACCATTTTATTATTTGCTGTCTTTGTATGTAATTTCAAACTGGTGTTCTGTTATGGCTTCACAAACTGTAAAAAGATGTGATTGACCGTGGTTTATCAAGTAGCAGGAGAAAAACTTACCTAAGTGTGTTTAATTACTCTAAATGGTTTTGTGATATTGATTTAATTCACTGAAAATTGATCCTGTTGTTTACACAAATAGATGGACGAAATGCATGCTGAGGTTGAAATGCTGCAACAAACTTCACACGATTATGAGCTGACCATGTCAGCACTATCCAATCAGCTGGAAGAAAAGGATGCCCAGTTGAAAAAATACACCTTGGAAAGACAAAAACATTTGCAAGAGATTTATGAAATGAAGTAAGTCCTTTATGCCTTTGGTTAGTTCCATTATGTTAGCTTTATTGTGAAGTCAGTTTATTCAACTCAAGGTCTTGTGAAGTTTCTGATCATATCACCTCTCCATTCCACATGTATGTCTTCCCCATCTTTAACAGAAATGTGTGGTTGTCAGAACGTTTAGCCAAGAGGCTGTTGTAGTTGCCGCTCCAGTATGTTAGCTTTATTGTGAAGTCAGTTTATTCAACTCAAGGTCTTGTGAAGTTTCTGATCATATCACCTCTCCATTCCACATGTATGTCTTCCCCATCTTTAACAGAAATGTGTGGTTGTCAGAACGTTTAGCCAAGAGGCTGTTGTAGTTGCCGCTCCAGTATGTTAGCTTTATTGTGAAGTCAGTTTATTCAACTCAAGGTCTTGTGAAGTTTCTGATCATATCACCTCTCCATTCCACATGTATGTCTTCCCCATCTTTAACAGAAATGTGTGGTTGTCAGAACGTTTAGCCAAGAGGCTGTTGTAGTTGCCGCTCCAGTATGTTAGCTTTATTGTGAAGTCAGTTAATTTCAACCAGAGGACTTATGTAGAAGTTTCTAATGATATCATTCACTGTTCCAGGGGTATGATTTCATCACAAACATTGTTCAACTAGATAATGTGGTAGTTTCTTTTGCTGGTTTAATATCCTAATCTTTGACATAAGCATATGTTTTTCATAATATTTACAGATTCTTCCATTTAGTCCAGAGATTTTTGTAGTTGCCACTCTTGTGTTTTGCTCATTATCTCTCACTAGGGGGTGGGTTTGAGAGTTTTTCCCTTCTTTGGGCTGAAACTATGATGGCATTTGTTGTACCCTGCATTTATCGGGCTTAGCTTGATTCTAAGCTAAATAACATATATGATTCATTGATCTTTTAGAATCAGTGTCACAGGAGAGTTTTTTCTTCATTGGGCTGAAACTGTGACAGCATTTCTCATACTCTGCATTTTATAGGCTTGGTTATCTAGAATAAATGTCATAGCAGTTAAAACAGACCTGTGCATATCATTTGTCATCAGCAGCTGTTAAAGTGACATAGGTCTATGCCCTGGTTTATCAAGATCTCACTGAGAGAAGTACAATCAGTTGTCTGATTATCTCTGTCAGTCAGGGCTCTTCAGTTGGTGACCTAGCTAGTGGCTTCTGGGGGATTGCCAGTTGTATTGTATTCATGATCTTTCTGTGCTGGTGCTTGAGACTCTGGCCCGTGACAATTCCCATTTTCAAGATTTTGAAATTTGGGCCTTGAAAAAACTTAGTTATGTATGCTGATCTATGTGTTGGCAAGTAGCCTTTTCTAAGATGGTGCTTTTTTGCCTAGCTTCCCCAGAATCTTTCATTCGTTTTATTGAAATACACAACTTGTGATAACATCCCATGTACCTTCATCTAGCTTAAGATGTTGTAAATTCATTGTCACGCCATAGCTAGACTTACATATTCATTTCCTGTGTTGCTTCCCAAGAAAACCTGACAGTTATGAGTATACACTTACTGATAACATCAGAAACAGTTCATGACTGTATTCCCCCACATTATTGGCTCATCGAGATATATTACATAGGTGAATAGTTTCCATTGTTTCTGCCATTCCTTCAACAAGAGAAATATTGACTATAAAGAGGTAAGCTTTTTAACCCTGTCACGATCTAGCTACTTCCGGTTGTGACACAGTCACGTAAATGCCAGTGTATAGACATTTCTGCAGTCGAAAAGCCTAGTGTTTTTCCATTGATTATGTGTGTGCCCGTATCATGTGTTAACTAAAGATAGAATTTAAAGGGGTTTCATTATGATCCCAGTGGTGTTTTAAAAGCTATGTTGACATCATATTTTCCAATAAACCTCAGTAATGGAGGTCATGGCGTAAATCACCCAACACATATTTGTTTTAGGTCCCGGGGAATCTGTTCCATTTAATGCTTCACTCTGTTCATGTTTATTGGTTATCTAGATGATTTAATAGCCACAGTTTGGATAAGCATCCTTCGTATTCTCCTAAATTAGTAGGCATTTCATTTGACCACACACTCCAGAGTTGAGCCATCTTCATAAAAAGGGGTACTAGGTAAATTTCTTGGGAAGCAGCAGCTAGGATACTGACCACGCCACCTGTCGAGTGCAGTTTGTACATGTGTAAATGTGTGGAGTTTTGTTATTATTATCTATTGATTAAAAATATAATGCATACTATAGTGGATGTATACTCCATGAATACAATCCACATGACTGATTAGCCATGTGACATCTGCTCTGAAATATGTCCACAGGCAGGAAACTATCCAAGCTGCCATTAGTGAAAAAGACTCCACACTGGCACTGCTTGAAATGACAAGTACCAAAAACCAGAGGAATATGGAAGAGATTGACAGACTGACTCAGGAGAAACATAAATTACAGGCACAGCTGAGGGATGTGGTATGTACTACGCATAATGTTCAGTCAGTGTATGTACAATGTTCAGTCAACGTTTGTATAATGTTCAGTCAGAGGTTGTATAATGTTCAGTCAGTGTATGTACAATGTTCAGTCGACGTTTGTATAATGTTCAGTCAGAGGTTGTATAATGTTCAGTCAGTGTTTGTATAATGTTCAGTCAGTGTTTGTACAATGTTCAGTCAGTGTGTGTACAATGTTCAGTCAACGTTTGTATAATGTTCAGTCAGAGGTTGTATAATGTTCAGTCAAAGGTTGTATAATGTTCAGTCAGTGTTTGTACAATGTTCAGTCAGTGTTTGTATAATGTTCAGTCAGTGTTTGTACAATGTTCAGTCAGTATATGTACAATGTTCAGTCAATGTTTGTATAATGTTCAGTCAGAGGTTGTATAATGTTCAGTCAGAGGTTGTATAATGTTCAGTCAGTGTTTGTACAATGTTCAGTCAGTGTTTGTATAATGTTCAGTCAGTGTTTGTACAATGTTCAGTCAGTGTGTGTACAATGTTTAGTCAACGTTTGTATAATGTTCAGTCAGAGGTTGTACAATGTTCAATCAGAGGTTGTCTAATGTTCAGTCAGAGGTTGTACAATGTTCAGTCAGTGTTTGTATAATGTTCAGTCAGAGGTTGTATAATGTTTAGTCAGAGGTTGTATAATGTTCAGTCAAATAAAGATCTCAGATTCATTAATTTTTCAAAAAATAAAAGTATCAGTAGAAAATGTAGAATAAGAATAGCTCAAGCAAAGGCAGCATTTTACAAAATAAAGAATATTTTATACAATCTGTCTTTGAGACGAGAAAGAGAATTCTTAAAAGCTAAATAAATTCTATCTTGATGTACGGAGGTGAATCATGGACAGTTGGTAAATTAGTGAAAACTTATTTGGAAGCTGCAGAGATTAAGTTTTATAGATGAATGATGAGAATAACTTGGACAGATTAAAAGAGAAATGAAGATGTCTTGAAAGAAACTGACTAGTGAAACGAACTGATTGCCCACATCAGAAAGAGACAGTCTACATTCTGTGATCATGTGGTGAGAATGAGAAAACTGGAGTACATCATGACAGTGGAAAGGTTGGAGGCAGACCCAGAGAAATAAGTTTTTGGACAGTTTGAAATCATGGCATGAAGGATAATCTGTATCAGAGTTGATTGAAAGTACACGAGACAGTAGGTTGTGGATCGACATGACTACCATCGCCACACGGCATGGACTTTAAGAAGAGAAGAATTTGCTTTCCTGGTGGTCTTAGGTTCAAGTTCTCTTGTGGGTAAGGTTTTACTCTGATACAGGGTTGCAGTTAGGTCTAGCATCATTAGTTGTGCTAGACAATTATGTATGCATAAACCTTTCTAGGTCACCTATTTGTGTGTTGTTTCATACATTGCTAGATAAGATTACAATACTGGCTGTCTCTTCGTCATTTTATTCCCCAGTGGAGCCTACATGCACAACCAATTCACACCAGGGTGACCCATCCTTTAGGAAGCAGCTCAACCCATTGTCCTCAGATCTTTTTCACTTTACCTTCTAGTTCTCTTCTCCATTTTCTTTCTGTGTCTGCCCTTATTTTATGTCCCTGTTTGTTCCACTGCAGAGACATTCTATTTAAATTGTTCTGAAGTTTTCTCAACATGTGTCCTAAAAATTATAAACTGGCATTTAGCCAGCATCTTTTCTTCACCACTTGATTCACCAGAATTTGCTTAGTTCTTTCTCAAAGTTCTCAATTAATGGTTCTGTCATACAATGTAACTTCTTCTAATCTGTGTAGACACCAGTTAATGAATGTTTGTAATTGTTTTAGTTGTTAACCATGTTTCAGCTCCCCACAGTAGTACTCATTTAACATTTGAGCAAAAACATAAAAATATGTTGTTATAATTACCTTGGACTTCCATAGTTTTCCTAGTGCTATATAAACTCTTCTTGCCTTTTGTATTTGTATTTTAATATCTGTATAAGTTCCCAAATCTTTATCAACACTACTGCTTAACTGGTGTATGACTGCACATCTTTTAGTTCGATATTACCCTGAGAAACTTGATTATTGTTTGCCTGGTTTACTGTCATCAACTTTGTCTTTCTCCTATGGATTTTCAGTCCTGATTGTTGTAATCTCTCATCACTAATGTTAAATTTATCTTGCATCTGGTTTTGTGAGTACTGGCTCTTTCCCTCACATTCTCTAATGTTGTAAGCATTCACAGCTAAGCTTTTTATTCAGTTGCATAAGCAGTCCCATAGAATTAGAGGCTAATGTGAAAACTCAATGTTATCCTAGCAGGCAAGCCATATTCATTTCAAGTATGTTCATGAATGTCCTGCCCCTGGCATATCAGTACCTCTATATGCTTTGAAGAAGAAAAACCAATGTTTTTTTGCCCCCAGGAAAATATTTTTACAGGTATCTTACATATTTTCAAACTCATCATTATTTCATTTCTGAAGAGACTTGCTTCTCTGATGGATCTATTCAGTGTGTTTATCTTTTAGTTGTTTTGATAACGGCTACTGAGGAGGATGTGTGGTGTGATTTCATTTCTTTAGTAATAGATTGTGTTGTCTCAAGGTTTAAAATGTATTTCCATTATCATAGCCATTTGGCACTCATTCTGATAGTCGTATCTAGTGTCTATTATGTATCTCTGTGCCTATGTTGTCTGGCTGTTAAGAGAATTGATGTTTCATTGTTTATCTCCAGGCATTAAAATTGATCTCCCCGTGTGGATTCCAGGGTCACATTGTTGGAAGAACAAGAATAGACCACTGCCTCCCCAAAAAGCATTTTTTAAGGGTCTAATAATTGGGAACTTTCTTCGAAGTGGGAATGCATCTCCCGGAGCGGCACAGAACTGTCGGCACACAAGCCAATAAAACGGATGTACATGCAAATTGCAGGCCGTGGCAAAAAGCCAGAGTCCAAATGGACGAACAACCAGGACTTTCCACCGGCGTTTACAGCTGGTGAACAAAGAAGAAGAAGAATTGTTCAAATGCATAATGTAAACTAAACCTGTATGTTCATTTGAGCATAAGTATTTGATCCTGAACATGTAATTCTCTAAGCAGAGAAAACTGACATGTGATAATTCTGACTTGTCATTCTCCTACTGCAGACTGCCAAGCGCATGAAGTTGATGCAGGGAGACTCTAGCAGTGAGAAGAATAATGAGGACAGTGACAGCAAGTCAGCTAGTGTTACAAACTCACCGAGTCGACAGAAAGTCCTGTCTGAAAAAGCTGAACCTGCAGACTGCTCACCAACTGAACATTCACCCTAGCGAGTACAACCAGTAACAGATATAACTTTAGTCAACTTTGTGATATAACTCATGTCAGTTATTTGAATTAAACTTCTACATCATGTGTTATGTTACTGTAACTAATAGCACATAAGAACATATACAGTGTGCTACGGGATCTTGTCTCCAGTATAATTAATTGCATGCCTGTTAGAGGCAATTTTGCTGATTTTCTCTCAGAGGCAAGTAGTAATGAGATAGGAGAACCCTTGTCTCTGCTAGTATTTTAAAAATATTAATAGCGCTGCAAACTGTCTTGTAGGTGAATACACGTATGTTTAGGATGTTAATTACATCCTCATTGTGTATTTAGAACTACTATTTCCCCTTCCCTGAACACTTTTTGAACAATGATCACTGTCAATCAGCAGATCTTTTACAGAATGTTGCTGTCAGCATGGCGGGCCTGGAAAATCTCTCTCTAGCCAGCTCTCCACCCCAGTATGTTTTCATACCCAGTGCATCTTCAATATCTTGTGTCGGCCTTCGCTGATGTCTGCCTCTGACTCATTTTGGGGAAACTGTACCCTCTTTCCAGGCCACCATGATGTTTAACATGGCCAGAATACCTCAGCTTTCGGGACAGGATGCTGTTTTATAATCCAGCTCTCACTACTTAGATTTTGTAGGATGTTGATTTTTTTCTTCTTAGACCGTGGTATTCTACGAATTTGTCTGCAGCATTTCCGTTCAGAAGCTCTGATTTTTTTCTTTAGTGACAAAGAGTGAAAAATAATCACTACACCTTTTTTTTTCCTGTTCAATACATTCTAGATAATGTATCATTATACTCTCAATTCCTCTGTAATAAATGCATCACTCTACAGAAACTAACTGGGCCATTTGGTGTTGATTGACAAACCGACTCATGCTTAGTGAGCTGTGCTTTTCTGGTTACTCCCATCTTCAGTTTAAATTGTACATTTTTTTAAACTGCCGATGTTAATTTTGTTAAATTTTGTTTCAACACAAGTCTCTGAAGGTGTTCATATTATCAGCTCAACTGAATAATTGACTGTTAAAGTCATATAATCATCCTGCCTTTTTCCTTTATAAGAAAGTTGATCCATTTATAGGAAAGTTGATTCATTTATAGGAAAGTTGATTTATTTATAGGAAAGTTGATTTATTTATAGGAAAGTTGATTTACACAGTGAACATTGTTTCATTTATTTACACGATACAGACATTGATCAGCTTATTTACCAAAGGGGACCTGACATTGTTAAAGCTTCTCTGAGTGTAGAAGTACACCACCAGTCAGCAATGGTGTTCACTCATATGACTGATACAGGTATTGATAACTGATCACAGGGATTCACTGTGGTTGACAGAGAAAGTTTATGATATTGGTCACTAAGTTTCAAACACTTGTGTACCCTGTCTTCACCGAGCTGAATAAAAGATGTGCCATGTTTGTGTGTTTCATTTCAATTTTCATATGCATTTTTATACTGAGCAGTATTTACAGCATTCTCTAGGCCTTATTATCTCATATACCTAATTACTTACTGTTGTAGACTTGTAGCAGTGTTTGTGTGTGTGCAGTTATATGTAACTTAAATTGTGGTCACCTGTCAAGTGTCCCAGTAAAATACTCAGATGTTCAGATGTTATTTCATCCCATTGAATTGCCCGACATGTAACGCTTCATTGACTGACAAGCTTTTAATCATGTTTGAAGCTAAGAATGATATAATGTTGGATTTTATTTCCCTGTTATGTTAGTTGAGAATTTTGTAATAAGTCTGCCATTCAGGTTTCTAATTTATATACATGAAGAACTTGCAGATTAAATTGTGCATGTGTAAAGAATACTTTTTACTAGTGAAGAATGCGACTATCTCCCTGTTTGGTGTGTGTGAAGAAAAAATATGGGGGTGATTTATTTTCATAGAATATAGATATTTGATTTAAAGACATTAATAGTTTGTTTTCTAAAGTGTTCTATTTCTGTTTTCATTACTTTGTGTTTTGGTGTTGAAAATGTTTTATGTCAGTTTTTTAATGAGCGCCAGGTGTCGTTTTTATATCTGTATCCATGCACTTTGTTACAAGAAAACATTATTCGTTGGTAAGTAGCACAGTGCTTAGATTAGAGGAAGTTGTGGCATTCTTCAAAGTGTAGCATCAACATGTAAATACATTCAAAGTTATATACATCACTGCATTACTTGTCCACATAGTCACAACCTGAATTCAGACCCTTGTCGTACCATGGCACAAGTTGTTTGTAACCCCTGATCAAGAAACGGTTCTAAGCCAGTTGTTGACTCCATCAGTGAGCTCCTCAGGAGTGTCGAAGCGCTGGGTAGTCAACCAAACCATCTTGCTGAAAAGATGGTAATTACTTGGTGCCAAGTCTGGGCTGTTAGGAGGGTGGTTGAAAATTTCTGACTTGAACTGCTCAACAAAAACTTTGTGTGAGCAGCAGTGTGTGACAATTCAAAACAGACTGGTCCTAGAAATTTGTGGAAATTCTGTATAAAGATCTGAAATTATGAAACAGCGCTTTTCCACTACAACTTGGACAACTTTTTGAATGTGCTAATCTGTCACACATGAATGTCATCCATTTCCACCCTTATTATGCACATCTCTACACCCATCTCTACTTTCCTGCACTAATTCTTTACAGAGAACTTTCACTCATAATGTTGTCACCTTCCCCACACTCAATCAGCGATGAATCTTAGCATCATTGTGACCTTCTGCTTGATGAAAACGAATCGTACCGCAAATGTCACAGCTGGCTGAGAAAGGCAATAACAGTGTCCATGTTTATTTTTTTGCAATCATTAAACACGGAAAAATGCAACTGTGCTTATGTGTAAAGGACCACTGAATGATGAAAGCAATGAACGGTGTCATGATGGCAAACATTTTTTTTTTTTTAAATAGCCATCATACTATGGTTAGAAAAGTGTAACTTTTTACATATTTGCGTTGAAGTAATGTGTGTTGTCATTTATAGGTTGGAGCAAAGGGCAGTCTTTCTCGCTCAACTGATATTATTTGAAATTAATTACCTGATTTATTGACTAATTTAGTTTGTTGCAATGGTAGAATTCACACAATGAACTTCTCTATGCTACCCCCAGAGGACGACTAGATAAGGCAAAAGAAAAATAACTTGATGACAAGTTAGAGAGCAGATTGTTTTGGCCATTGCACTTGGACTTCTGCAGAGAATGTCTTGAGAATTGCTGCAAGTGTATAGTTAAACCCGGGACAACTCTAAACTATGAACAATAAATGCATTGCTATATGCATGGAACTGTCAGGAGTTACATTACACAGTCCAACCAGTTATCTTAACCATATTAAATAGATTGCCGTATAAAAACATGCTCATTTTTTTTTTTACATTATTCCCAAATAAGATGCTTCACTGTTTCATCCAAATTACCAGGTTTTACACAAAACAGAGTAGGTGCTCCATTTGGAAATAGCCAAGCTCCTGTAATGCCATAGGACAGTGTGATCAGAAGTCTGCTGGAATCACATTACAGTTTTGGGTGCAAGGGCTTTTGTGTATGTGCAAGACTACCAGTGGTGTGCATCTAATCATGCTTTCATTCAGTGTTGGTGCTATACATACTTTACTTATTGTGTTAATGTTTATTTCCTTTTGGATCTATATTCTATTGCAATCTCTGTCAAGTAACTTACTTTTCTTGATTTATATATCACTTATGAACTAAATGTGTGTCTAAGTTAATCATTTAATTTTTATTGTTACTTGTTAGCCATAATTCTGTGTTTATTTCCGTTAATGTTATGAAATATGGGCTTTAAATCTCCTTTATAATTTTTTTTTTTTTTGGGTACAAGTGGATGAGTAAATAATTTGTTTTCTGTGGGGTTTTTTAAATGACATATAACTGGTTGTAATTGTTTGCCTCAAATTTGAGAATGGGTAGGAATGGCTTCCAGTTATATTATTTGTCTTTTATTGCATGGTTTCCAGATGAATAGATTTGGATGGGCATGCTCCATTTATGCAGCTGAAAATAAAAAAAAGACATTCAATCATTTGAACAGAGTACACACACACACAGATTCAGTAATGCCTGTCTTTGTATTCAGACTAAAACCATCAGCCTTTGACATAAACTATCCTGGTGCAAATTAGTCCAGAAGTATGCTTTGGATTTCCATTTTTTTTTTTTTAATTATTATTTTAAATAATAAATATTAGCTAGTAATCTCAAATTTGGTTAATCATATATTTAAGCTGCAGATATACTGAGGTAGCATTGTTTGTACATGTGGTAACTTGTATGTGAGTTTAGTGGCTTCAGCATGTATTTGTGATATTAAATATATCAACATGTCTAATGTACTTAGATATTATAGTCTTTTTTTGTGTGTGTGTGTTTGTTTGTTAGTTATTAAGTATTCAGTTTGGTTGAACAGTTACTGTTTTTTCTACTTTTTTGTCTCCTTGATTGTCATTCCCCCCACCCCATTCTTTTTTAAAGATAAACTAGAAAACTAGATTCTTTGAAAATTAGAAGCTAGTTAGCATACCAGTTATGCCTGATCGGTAAAATGGATGTGCACCCAGAACTCAGGTTCTGGAACAAGACTGAAGTCCAGAAGTGGATAAACAACTAGAACTGTCGACTTCAGTTTACAGCTGGTGAACGAACCTAAGCAGAATAAGAAACCACACCAGGATATGATGTATCTCCTTAACATGGTTCTCTCTGAATACCCACATTTGTCAATACACTCATGCCAATCGTAAAGCATGTGGTGTAGACATAAGAGAAAAGTCACCATGAGAAATCTAGGCATGACATTTTACAGATGTTTGTCATGCAGACAACGTAATACTTAGAACCAGGAAAGGTCTGACAGCGCTCAAGGTACTAGCAGCAGCTAATATTGAACGCCTACTTTTCCTTTTGTCTCTTTTGTTAAGCATCATTAATTATGGTCTGGGCCTGCTCACTGTCAGCAAAACCCAGCTAGAAAGACTGAACTAAGTACAAAATGAGGCAATGAGACTCGGCTGCACAAAAGACACCTCCTGTCATGCCATGTGATATGTCCTTGGCTTGCCGATAATGACTACTAGACACAAAGTGGCACAGGTCAAGGCGTACATGAGGGTAACGGCAGCAGTTAATCACCAACTGCACAAGGCTATTCCCAAAAGTAACACGTCTCAAAAGAGGCTGCTCCTGGATGTCCAAAGCTGAAGATTTAAGCCAGCAAGTATGTGACCTAGATGAGATCAGTCCAGTCAGGAGAAGAATACACCAGAAGACATGCAGGGCATCTCTCAGGTTGTCATCACACTGGGGAGGTACTGCAGGGATCATATTCCTGCTGCCATAGACACAGAGGTAAGGGCACTAATAGATCAGCATTCACACCCAGAAGACATCGTCTTCTACACAGATGGGTCACAGCTTTCTTGTCATATTTTTGTTATATTTAGCCTTTCGTGCAATCCACTCAGTTGCAGTCACCTTGTTTACGTCATCCCTATAGAATAAAGCATGTGCTGTTGCGTCCCCAGATAATGGGGAAAAATAGATGATGAACTAATCAAACCCTTTTTTTTTGGTAGTGTGTGGTTGCATCCCCAGATAATTGACTGGGGAAAAATACATGATGAACTAATCAAACCCTTTTTTTTTTGTTCAACATTTTTGCACTCAGCAGCTAAAGAAGAAATGTATAACAGGACTGTTGCATGGGACAAGGCATGGTTCTATCGTTATAAACCAGAAACAAAGCACATTTCAGTTTTAACCAGCAACATCCTCCATCTTCAGCTTAGAAATGAAAAGTTATACTAAGAAAGTTAAGCTTAGTGTCTTGGAATGTCCCATTTTCAGAAGAAAATCTACAAATGTGAATGCTGCATTGTACTGTGATCTTCTGCTGGTGCAATCAGAAAATAAAACAGAGTTAGGTCTCCTGGCCAGAAGTCATGAAGGTGAATTAGAGACAGTCAGATCACATATGGCTCAAATAAGTCGAGACAATTGATCAGCTTGAGGTGAAAACTGCTAAAATATCTGATAGACCCCAACCTAGCTTCTATTTCTACATCCCACAGACGGTTCTGAAAATTCTCATGGTTTTTTTTTTTAATGAGGCTGGGTTGACACCAAAGTTATAGGACCCCTTTTCACGCCTTCAGGCATACTGGGCACATAGGGCTAGACCTATATTGTATAGACCAATCAGCACTTGGTGGGTGATGTGGTCAGCATCTTGCCGGCCGCCTTTAGCTGGTATCCATTTAGGGCTGGGTCAACCTGGCAGCCGAGGTTATTTTCTTTCTTTTTTTTTTTAATTCTGGCTCCCTCAGGACCTGAATCCACAAACTTTTTGATCCGCAGGTGAGGGTCTAGCCACTACACTATCCCCCCTTTCCCCAGCACTGATTGAAAAAAATGCTGTCACGTCTGGAGACTTAGACTTTCATCAAATTACAATCTGATATTCACTTTAGTTTATACCATTTCACAGCCCTGTTGAATTAACTTCATGGCTGCATAAAATTTATTTTGTGCCTTTTATAAAATTAACTAGCGTGTTAATTTTTTTTACAAACTGATCCCTCTTTCCAGGTGACAATTTAAATCTCTATAAAAACACGATTACCTAAAACATTTAACAAAAATTAACTAAAGACAAAATCAGAAAATCATTTTTTAATCATCATAAAATGGTATTGTGCACATACAGAAATGACCAACAGAAGACTGTCTAGGGCATCATTCGAAGAGCTCCATCCAGGCGTATGACTTCACCATTCAATAATGGATTTTCTATTATACTCTGAACTAAATGGGCGTATTCATCTGGGTTGCCAAGGCGAGATGGAAACGGGATGGTACTGCAGAGGAACTTTTTCACTTTATCAGGAAGGCTAGCTAAGAGTGGTGTGTCAAACAAACCTGTGTGGGAAAAACAAAAACATTAGAGACAAACAGCAAGTTCAAGTAATATTATTTCTACTATTATCTCTACCTTTTTTCTTCTTCTTCTTCTTAGCGTTCACCAGCTGTAAACTCTGTTCTTGTTGTTCATCCATTTCTGGATTTTGGTCTTGTTCCAGAACAAGAGTTTTGCATGCAAATCCGTTTCACAGATCTGGCCAATTGGTGTGCAGACAGCTGGTTCCTTGCCTGTCAAGACAGATGCATTCCAACTTTAAAGGAAACTCCCCTTTTTAATTGCCTTATGTGACATGCCTGTGAAGGGACTGTGGGTCTATTCTTTTGTCTACCACAATGGAGCCCCAGAACCCATACAGGAATGTCTCTTTTAAAACTGAAGACTGTTCAGAATATGAAGATCACTGAAACAAGCAAACATCTTACCCTTTTTGGTACTTTGATATGCTGTGCCTCAGCCGAGAAGCCAGCAGCCTCTGTGCTATTTTACAGAACCTCAAACTTCTACCACATGTCCTCATCATACATTGGGAAAATGGATATCAGAAGCCTTCACTGAACTGATTATGGATCTCAGTTTCGGTGAACTTTAGAGATGATGTGCCAGTAACCATAATCCTAGAGACTTAGTGCCAGAAACTATGATGTGGGAAAACCACTGGCCCTCGTGGGAAAATGATGTCCACCGAAGACGTGATCTATGATTTTACAAATAGGGGGTTCTTCCTCTTCTTCTTGTTCACCGGCTATAAACTCTGGTAGAAAGTTATGGCTGCTTGCCCACTTCTGGATCTGTCTTCTTCCAGAACTTGAGTTCTGAGTGCGCATCCATTTTACAGATCTGGCTTATGTGTATGCAGACTGTTGGTTCCCTGCCTCTCAGGTAAATGCACTCTGCATTGGAAGAAAACACACCTAATTAATGGAAAACTGCAGTTTGCAAATCCGCAAAGTAAAAAGTCTAACCCAGCCATGCTCTAGTTGTGAGATGAGTGAATGTCCAAAGCTGACGTACATTCTAGGAAAAGGAAAAAAGGTTGGAATTACTGTTCTGCTTGTAAAATGCTACTCCTAATGAAAACCAAAACAGAAGTCACTAACCAAGACCCTGATCCTGGAAACAACGAGCAAAGTATGTTTTAACTGTTCTAGCCATCATTAAGTGATGACTAATTGCCACTTTTTTTACAACAAATAATTCAGCAATCAGCACTTCTCCATTTAGCTTACCTGGTGCAACAGTAACAACACGAATTCCTTGAGATGCCAGATCTCTGGCAATAGGTAGAGTCATTCCCACAATGGCTCCTTTGCTGGCCGAATACGCAGCTTGGCCCATCTGTCCATCAAATGCTGCTACACTGGCAGTGTTCACTATAACTCCTCGCTGACCATCTGCATTGGGTTCATTCTCACCTATCAGTCCTGCCGCCAGCCGAATGACATTGAAAGTGCCAGCAGTATTGACCTATGATCAAGAATAAGTATAACAATGTAGTAAGTGTAAGAATACACTGCCACAAAACATTTTCTTTCAAAGTCTTACTATAATCACTGCAATATATCACAAACTGAGGTTAATGATAAAACAAATGTCAGTCGCTCGATAAAAATCACATCGTCTTCTTCTTGGTGCTCACCGGCTGTAAACTCCGGCAGAAAGTTCTAGTTGTTTGCCACTTCTGAACTTAAGTCTTGTTCCAGAACTTGAGTTTTGCATGTATATTCATTTTACAGATCTGGCTTTTATGTATGCAGACTGCTGGTTCCTCACCTCTTGGGCAGATGCACTCCGAAAACAAAGAAAACGTCCCTCATTTGTCGCCTTCTATGGTATGCTTGTTGGGGGGAGGGGGGGCAATATTTTTTTCTCTCTCCAAAATGAAGCTAGAGAACCTATACAGGGAGATAAAAATCACACAAGAAAGATCAGTTAAATTATAAATTTGCTGCGAAAGAAACATGCAACCAACTGTCATATGAATATATTACCATCAACACTTTCTGAAAGTCAGCCAAGACATGGGGCAGCTTCTTGTTAAAGTTGTATGTTTTGAAAGCAACAGCAATCCCTGCACAATTAACAGCTGTATCAAGACGACCAAACCGACTTTTTGCCAGTTCCAAAGCTTTACTGACATCATCCTCAGATGTGACCTAAGGGGGACAATGCAACATTATAAACAAAACTTACAAAGCAAAGAGTCTTACATCAGAATTAATAAATGAGAATTTTTTTTTTTTGTCATTTTGAAACGTAGTTTGCAGGCACAGATAACATGCTAATTATCACGGACATTCAGAAAATAATGTTCCCACATTATTTTTTCATTGAATAAAAAACATGAAATGTTGCCATACTTTAAATCTGAAATGCCTGTATTATATGTAAGAAATAGCAGCGCATTCTGATCAAAAGTACAGCTGTACTAATCTGATCAAATGGTGCGCACAAAATGTGGGCCATTACTTTCTTAATGTGTCTGTGTATAGATGAACACTAAAAAAAAAATACAGCAATTCTATCTCGTATTATGGATGCCCACGACCAAGGTTGATCACATAATGTCACACCAGACTTGGTTTATAATGAATGAATATCATAGCCCTCTAGACACACTCACAGATGCTTAATCTCCCTCAGGAAATGTTAAAGTGCAGATGCTGATCACATCAATAATATGAATACATCAGATTCATTCCTTCAAATGCCGCTCCTTGCTGAACCCACATTCAAATCCAAACCAAAGCATCGTGAAATATATTGCTTCAGTTGCTTCTTCTTCTGCATTCATCTGAAGACATAAATACGTTGTGTCCTTTTACAACAAGGGTTGCAATATTTGCGACTTTCGGCTGACATATCCAGCTTCTGCTGGCATCTGTTGCTGAGGGTTAGCTTTCCTGAGTGACCTAACTAACAACTGCTCATAGTCTCAAAATATGCAATTTGTCCACTGTCAGTGTACCAACCAGTGACACACTTCATGCTAACAGACCTCACTACCTCCAACATGACATAAGCAGCATGTCTCTGTCTTCTTCTTCTCCTTTGCGTTCACTAGCAAAAGATCTAGTTGTTGGTTCACTTCGGGAATTTAGTTTTATTCCAGAACCTGAGTGCTGCGTGCACATTCATTTTACAGATCTCTTGTTTCATTGCCTCTTGGGCAGATGCACTCCGACTTCCAAGGAAGCTCCCAATTAGTTGACTCTTATACATGCTTGTTGGGGAAGCAGTGGGTCTATTCTTGTTTTCTCCTGGGGCCCTAGAACCCACATGGGGAGCATGTAAATGCAAAATAGAGGTGTCTATGCTTAGTACCTACACATGCAATAAAATTCTATTATGTCATCTGTGCTATACAGACTAAGAATCAGACACTGTGATTGCTCTGTTGATTGACTGCCTGGCAGCCACCTCAAAGTTGCAATGAAAACCATTTCCAAATTTGAATCTGTAGAGGTTCTATTCAACCCAGCCTAAAATGGGTACCACGATGTATGTCCTGGGGAAGTAAAGACGGCCGGCGTAATGCTGACCACATTACCCACCTAGGGTCGATCGGTCTGTAAAAATATGGGTGCTCTTTCCATATGCCCGAAGAACCTAAAGGCATGAAAAGGGATCTTTATTTTATTATTGGTTTTATTCTATTCAATGATGACCTTCCCTTTAACTCTAACTGACAATCCCCAACCAGATTAATCTCCCTAAAATACTTCTTCTTCTTCCTAGTGTTCGCTGGCTGTAAACTCCAGCAGAAAGTTTTGATCGTTGATCCACTTCTTTACTTTGATACTGTTCCAGAACTTCAGTTTTGTGTGCACAGCTGTTTTACCGATCTGGCTTATTTACATGCTTTTTTTTAGTTTGTCACCCATCAACCTGATGCATTCTGACCCCAAAAAAGGCAACACCCCTAATTAGTCAGCTGTTATTTGTTAAGGAGCAGTGGATCTATTCTCCCCCCATCCCACGGGGTCCCAGAAACCACACAGGGATCCACAAAATACAGAAGTTAAGAGAGACTGCATCATCTCCAGTTGCATCCACATCCATCAACTGTCTGTTGAACCTCCCATTTTGACAAGCCATTAAATAAGCTACAACAACCAATCAAGGAAAATATGAGAACATCTCAGAATTTAACAATTTCCATTGTTCTTCACACAAAACAAAAATCTGCACAACAATGTATCACTTACATCTGTTGGAGCAAACAAACAGTTTTCACCAAGTGCTGTGGCAATTTCTTGACCTTTTGAAGTGGGCAAGTCACAGAGAATAACCTTTGCTCCTTGTCGAACAAACCTCTCCACAGTACCGCGACCCAGGCCTGAGGCACCTCCAGTCACCAAACCTACAAGATTCTGTTTCCAAAAGGTTTAATATTCATTAGTTGGCTTTGAAGTCTTTACGATATATGACTAATTATTTTATAGACGTTAACAGCTTCAAAAAAAAAAGTTTTTTTTTTTTTAATACACATCCTCCCCCAACGCCTCAAATGTTATTTTTAGTTAATATCCTGGCCTATTAAACACTGCACAGTTGCACACAGAACCAATGGAATTCAACTACACTTTTTGAGAGCAGGTCACTGCAGACAGGCAACAATATCAGCATTTACGGGACTGTGTCATAACCTGAAGCGAATAGATTTAGTCTTCTCAAAGTGAAAAGGTTAAAGTGTTTTATTTGTTACTATGGTAAGGCTCTCTGTGTTTCAAAGCAACATCCTTTGTTGTAATTACCCATTTCTTAATGTAAATTTGACTAAAACTTTTTTTTTAAACTGTTCTCATTTTCTTAGCTTTATTTTTTTTTTAACCCATTGTATTTATACTGATATGATAAATAATTTGTTCATTGAGAACCAGCTGCACACATGGGATTGTAACAGACGCACAGCATGCTGGGTGACCATCACTTCAGAGGTAGTTAAGTGTATGATGGATCTATGCTCCACAGCATGCTGGGTGACCATCACTTCAGAGGTAGTTAAGTGTATGATGGATCTATGCTCCACAGCATGCTGGGTGACCATCACTTCAGAGGTAGTTAAGTGTATGATGGATATTTGCTCCACAGCATGCTGGGTGACCATCACTTCAGAGGTAGTTAAGTGTATGATGGATCTATGCTCCACAGCATGCTGGGTGACCATCACTTCAGAGGTAGTTAAGTGTATGATGGATCTATGCTCCACAGCATGCTGGGTGACCATCACTTCAGAGGTAGTTAAGTGTATGATGGATATTTGCTCCACAGCATGCTGGGTGACCATCACTTCAGAGGTAGTTAAGTGTATGATGGATCTATGCTCCACAGCATGCTGGGTGACCATCACTTCAGAGGTAGTTAAGTGTATGATGGATATTTGCTCCACAGCATGCAGGTGTGACGGGGAAACAAACAGATCAGCTTGTTCTGCACTGCTTGGTGGTAAACTAGTACATGTGTAAGGTGATGTGGTGAAGGTCCTTTAGAAGTTGGGAACAATGCATATTATCAGTGTGGACAAAATGGTGCAGTCAGTGACCAGGGGATATGATTGGCACTCAACGAAGAGGCAAACTGAATGAACTAACAAATAATCAGACTACAGGTACTGGTATCAGTGAGGGCTTCTGAGCTGAAATGCCACAGAAAGATTCTCAGAATAGCATGGGCCAAGAAGAAAAGAAATACTGATATCATAAAAGGTCCAAACAACAAGAAAGATTGGCTAGTTAGCAGCATCTTGTCTCAGAAACTGTAAATGGAAATATTAAATACTAATTATAATTATACTTTGGGGCTATATAAAGTGGCAGAGCTATTTGGAAAGAATAATAGCAGAAGGCATGATATCAGGAGAGAAGGACAAGTTGATAGGTTCCAACCAGCACAACGATCGGTTCAGGATGTAGGTGACAGTGACACCTTGGTTAGGAAAGTCGCACAGGCAGGACAGCTAGTGGCGAGAGACCAAGTTGCTCAAGCAGACAGTGAGGAGAGCAAAAGTTTTCACTTTCTGCAAAGGACCTGCAAAACTCAAACGATGAGATGGATGATGGTGGGTACCAACAGATTGGAACTTGCGTAGGAAGCAAAGTGGGAGAACTTGACATTCATTCATTTATTAATTATTAAGCCAAGGATGCAAGAATGAAGAAGCCTTTTCCGACTGTCATTTGTCTTTACTTTCTATAATACACTAATACACTGACTTATCGGCCCCACTTATCGTCGTCCAGTCATTCAAGTCATGTGCGACCTACAGATTGTTGTAATATATGTTATGGGCAACAAGAAAAGGGTGGGAAAAAATACAGATGAAATAAATGTTTAAAGCTGATGAGATATCTCAGATTATGAAATCGAACAATACATCACAACGCCATGAAATGACATAACAATCACCTTCAAAGTGCCTATCGTCGACATGATGTTTCAATGTTCAGCCGGAAGCGAAGGCTAAGCTAGCAGTACCAAATAATTGGACGGCAAGACCAGGCAGTACAGATTAATCGATCACAGTCCTTCGCTGCTCTCTCCTTTTTCAGTAGACAGTTTTTGGGGGTGGGGGAGGGTTAGGAAATTATGGGGAAGAGAAGAAAAAACAAACAGTTTATGCCAGTTTTGAGAAATCAATTACAATGAACGTAAGCCAACGAGGAGTATGTATATAGGCACCCTTAGTGAAAATGCTCAAAAACATTTATGAAACTGGCGGATTGGCCAGAAGCGGCCGTGACATAGTGCAACCAAACAGTGCCTTAACCCACCAATAGACTAAAATATTTAATTCTGCCGTCCTTATTGGGATGCAATTTTTTGTTAATTGAAGTCCTACTCTAGCTCATGCCAGGATCGGCAATATAGCCCGCCATAAATATGGTCTAATGGCTGAACGCGGTTTCTGTGACCTCTCCACGGTGATCCTAATCCACATGGTGGCACTTTGTGTCATAGGGTGTTTATCGCAATTATAATATCCTGGTGGGGTAGAAAGTCAGATAGTCAGACCAAGAGACTAAGACATGAATACTATCTAGTATCCAAGAAAGGTGGCTCGATACACACACCAAATTTTTTCCTCTCGTCTCGCTAGAGATGTATGTACAGTGTTTAATATTCAGATTAAGGACAGGGCACAGTAAACTTCATCAACATATGTTCAAACTTTTCGGTGTAGGAAACACGGAGACGTGCCCCTGCAACCTGGCACCCGAAAATGCTGGAATTTGTGCTCTAACACTGTCAACTGTATGCTGACAACCGAGACGCACTCTGGCCTGTTCCAACCACAATGAAGACAAAATTGTATCGTACGCAAGAAGAAATGGACTGCAAGATAGCTTTCACAGAGACTACCGGCCTCCTGATATGTTTTTTAACAGACGATTCGAAGAAGAAGAAGAAGAAGAAGAAGAAGAAGAAGAAGAAGAAGAAGAAGAAGAAGAAGAAACTGGCATAGTTGGATATGTCTTGAAAAACAAATACAATTCAACGGTACCTCATTCAAGTCTGTATGTCAACTATAAGCTGGGATATTAATTTTTTGGCAATTATTTGGGAACATATAAGAAAATACTTTCTCCGCGCTTTAAACAAATGCATCCCAAAAATGAAATGTCCGTTTTGCGATAAACCCCTTGGCAACCTTATATCACTGATTTGATAATATAGCAACATCTTATCTCAGAAACTGAAAATAAAAATACTTTTAGTCATATCAGGATCCACAGATGTCTGGAAACAATAATAGCAGAAAGCCTGATAAGAGGGGCAGGTTCCAACCAGCAAAAAGATGGTCCCAGGATATAGGTGAGACCTTGGGTAGGAAAGTGCTCTAGGCTGAAGAGCTGGTGAGAGACCAAGTATCTTTGAGGCAGACAGTACAAATGACCTGCCAGAGGTGATTTAGACAGACAACTACAACGACATGATCATAGGCGCTGGAACTTTGCTTAAGGCACTTTTAGTCTCGCCCTCTTTCCCCAGTCACTATTTTCAGCTAGAAAATTAGTTAGGATCAAATCACCCCCCCCCCCTCCCCCACCCCCTTTTTCAAAGCCATCTGTTAACGCTCTCTTTTTAAGTATTTGTACATTCATATTGTGTCAAATGAGGCGCAGTGATTTCGATCACATGCCTGAGGAAAAGTTAAGGCTATTGTGCTGTATTAGTTAATTAGTCGACATGTAACCTAACTGCACATTGATCTAGTCGGTCAATAGGTGTTCGGATCCCCTCCTCAGTAAATCCCGCAGCGTGTAGCGGCTGACGATATCAGTCCTGTGTTGGTTTCTTTGTCTTCTTTCGTTTCCTGTCTGGTTGCGCTGTGTGAACGGAGATACTCCGTACTTCAGCTCGGACAGGCTCTGTGCTGGCTTTACAGGACCTCGTGCCAGACTTCTGCTACATGTCCTCGTGTGGCGTCACAGATTATGACCAATATCGGACTGAACCGAGCTAGCATAGGATCTCGGAGTTGGTGGCCCTTAGTGTCTAGAAATCTTTTTGCTCTTATTAACCCACCCCCTGTGCATGGGTGATACCTCCATCAAAAACTCAGAACATGATTAAGGCCTTCTGGCCGAATATCCTACTGTCTGTATGACAACCCTTGGATCAACCGTCTGCGGACCGAAAGACGTACTGAAACTGCTGTTAGTCTCAAATTCCCTACAGCATAACATCGAAATTCTGAATGTCCGATCGTCAAATGACCTACTGAGTGTCAGATACGGTCCAGAAGTCCGACGGTCAAATGTCCTAGTGTGTGATGGACACGGTTCAGAAGTGCGACCGTCAAACTTCCTATTGTGTAACAGACAAGGTTCAGTTTGCGCCTAACTGCCTTGAATGGGTTTTCTAGAGGAACACCTGCAGATCAGGGTCGTCTTAACGGCATTATGGGCCCCGGGTAAACAAATATGCTGGGGCCTCGGGCAAATCAATGTGCAAAAACATTCACAGAAATAAGACGTATATGGTCGATAATATTAAACATGTATTTATTTTATTGGCACTTGAACCACACACACACACAAAAAAAACTGGTGTTAAAGCATAAACACAGATTGGACGAAACAGAAGGAAATTACCACAAACTTCTTATATTGGCTAGTCACTTGACATTCACAGATCGATTTGAGGCAAGTACCCAATGCGTTAATATGGTTCTGCTGTAGATAAAGGTCACCACATAAATAAGGCAAATTCACGTCCCATGAAACCAACCTAACCCTATACACGAAGAAGTCTGATGTGTCCGCCGAAAGGTTTAAATGTCGCAGCTATGCTATAAACAGACACAGCGCAACTGTGTAAATATTTGTTTCTTCTTATTATTTATTAGCTCACCTAGCAATGGGTGTTTCGTCCTTTTTAGGACGAAATTTTTTTTGTTATTTGAAGCCCCACCCTGGCTTTTTCCAGGGGCCGCAATATAGGCAGGCAATAAATATGGCCAATTGTCTGAACGCGGTTTCTGGGACCTCTCCACGGTGATCCTCATCCGCATGGTGGCACTTTGTGTCATCGGGTGTTTATCGCTTGTGTGATGTCCTAGTGGTGTAGAAAGTCAGTCAGTCAACTGTGTAATTCAGACGACCGATGAAGGAGAAGAAGAAATAATTTCAAACATAGTATTAAATTTATTTACCATCAAGAACATTATTATCATTATTATTATTATTGCGCACCGAGTTCCCCCAATAAATTCTTTTTGACGGCGCCCTTGGACATGATAATTAAGAAAGGAAAGTAAAATAAGAAAGGAAAGTACGTTAGCTGGTACACAAAGAGCCAACACAAGGGACCGTTAATTAACGGCCTGCCTCAGCTACCAGGGCTACCGAAGTTTCGTACACAATTTGGTACCTTTTGACCCTTGTCGAGCAATTTTGTACTTTTGGTACCACGCCTTAAGATTTGGTACATTTATAAATTTTTCAGCAATATTTTAAATTCTGGCAAATTGTTTGAGCTGTTAAAAATGATTAGGAGTGTTTTGATACAGTTGGTGAGGATATTGTTGGACAAAATGAACTAGAGACTGTTAAAACACTGACTATTTTAAAAGAATCAGCTCAGAAAATGGGACTAGTTATCAATCAAGATAAGACAGAATACATGATAATAACTAGACAAGGAAAGGATATAAACTCCGGCCAAATACAAGTTGATAATATAAAAATCAAACGAACGGAAACATATAAGTACTCGGGTGCAAACTCCAACATGCTGAGAGAAGAAATACAATCTAGGATACAATCTGGAAATACAATATAGAATACAATCTAGAAATAAAGTATACTATGCCCTTTAACATCTGCTAAAAAGTTAAGTGTCTGCCCTTTCCCAGGAATCACCATTACCAACTGTCTTGTTTAACATATATACAGCAAGTCTGGCAAAAATTCAGCTCACTGGACCAGGGCGAACTTTGACATTTGCAGATGATGTCTCAATGTATCGAAGCGGGTCAGACAGAAACGACATGACCAGAGACTTGCAAAGTGCTTTGCCTGAGATGACGGAGTGGTGTGAACAGACAGGATCAAGACCCAGAGAAGGCCAGTGTTTTGTGGTGCTCTTTGAATAACAGCATTGGGAAAGAAGACTTACCCAACATATCCATGAAGGGTATTCATGCTGAAAGAAGAGATAGGTTGAAATATTTAGGTTCGACGTTTGATCGCAGTCTGTCCTACGATATCACATGGAGCAGCCTGTAATCAAATGCAAGCGTGGCCTTGCGGCTCTGAAGACGATGATGGCGACACATATGAAACAGAGATTACAGGTTTTATTGTTCAATTATTTTGTCCTTTCTGTAATCGATTATGGCCCAGGAATGTTAACTCAACGGTTTACACAGCTTAAAAGGATTCAAAATGAAGGAATGAGAATCGTCTTGGGTTGCACATGGGACACCCCAGTTAGAACAATGAGGTATATGCTTTGGCTGACATCGGTAAAGTCTAGACTGTCACTGGAGCAAGCCAAGGCCTAAATGCGAGTTAAAAATGAAGAAAGACATCCGCTGCATGGTAATTCGAACGAATTAAGAAAAGACCGGTTGAAAAGAGGAAAGTCATGGATGGCACAAGCTGAAGATACCATAGAGACGGCAGCCTCAGTTAAGCAAATACACAGAGGGCAGGAATGGATCAACATGAACACCCACAACAGCAGTTTCCATCAGGTCATTATCACGTTGGAAATAGAATGTAGAGAGTAGTTTAACGATATGGCAGAATCACAGGTACAACAACTGATAAATGGAAAGGCTGCAGTAGTGTACACCGATGGTTCTCTTCATAAGGGTGTTAGATCTGGCTGGGAATTTTCACCTAGAATGAAGGGAAAAATTGTGGCAGAACAAAACGGAGCTTTTGTCATCTACAACTTCAAGCGTGATAATGGAAGTGGAG